CGAGGCGAGGCGAGGCGAGGCGAGGGGAGGGGAGGGGAGGGGAGGGGAGGGGAGGGGAGGGGAGGGGAGGCGGCGAGGCGAGGCGAGGCGAGGCGGAGGCGGAGGCGGAGGCGGAGGCGAGGCGAGGCGAGGCGAGGCGAGGGGAGGGGAGGGGAGGGGAGGGGAGGGGAGGGGAGGGGAGGGGAGGCGGCGAGGCGAGGCGAGGCGAGGCGGAGGCGGAGGCGGTGGCGAGGCGGAGGGGAGGGGAGGGGAGGGGTGGGGCGGGGTCTCGCATCGTCGCCCAGCGACGCCATCAGCGCTGTGAACTGCTCGAGGTCGATGAGCGCCTGTTCAAAGCCCAGAGGTGTGAACACACGGGGGGCGGTCGGCTCGAGGATGGCTGAGTGAGTGTCTTGTGAGTCTGTGTGTCGCTCCAGATTGCCGTCATCCCTTTGTGTCGCGTCCACCCATACCGCGATGGTGTCCAGTCCGAGCCGCTGGCTGTCCTTCACCTCTCTGTCTCTACCTCTCCTCGTCGAGGGGTGGCGGCGGCGCGGCGGGTGTGTGGCAGCCCAGCTCATTGAGTGTCTTGTGTCTGTGTGTCTGTGTGTCGCTGCCAGCGCGGTGCCGTCATCCCTTTGTCTCGCGTCCACCCATACCGCGTTGGTGTCCGGTCGCTGGCAAGACAGTGTCTTCGCCTCTCACTAAACAACGAACTAAGCGGCCGGGCGCCTTCTCGAACTCGCTCGCACCGCGGTTCATCATGCCCGCCGCCTGTGCGAGGCATCCCTCTCCCGTCATCTCGGCCGCTCCTCGGCGGGCGCTGCCACTACCTCTGCGCGAGCCGCCTCAAACTCCACGCCCGCGGCCTGAGAGGGGCCGGGCAGTCAGTCGGCGGCGAGCCTGCGGCGCAGTGAGTCTCGCGCGGGGCACGCTGATCTCGGGCGCGCTGATCTCGGTGGCGGTCGCGGCGGTGGAGGCTGCGGCGAAGTCGGTGGTGGCGGCGGCGAGCAGTGGCAGCGAGCAGTGGCGGCGAGCAGGTGGCGGCGAGCAGTGGCGGCGAGTGCGCGTCAGGGTGTTGGCGACGGAGAAGGCCGTGGCGAGCCTCGGCGAATGGTTCAGCGAGGGCATTCCAGAGGTCAAATCCGCCGGTCTTCGTCTGTTCGATAAGAGACAGTTTGATTTCGGCGCGCACTGCTCGGTGAGTAAGGAGTGCTCGCTGGCACAGCGGCAGCCGGCAGCACGACGACCCCACCAGCGCCATCATTGCTCCGAAGATGGGCACCATCATTGCTCGAAGAAGAATTCTCGACAGGCTGTCCCATCCCTCCCTTGGGTCCTACAAGATCCTGCTTGTGCAGGTGGGGACCCTGTCCTTCTCCCACCCCTCGTTTGGCGTGTCCGTTGTATTTATTTATTACCTTGGGTTGTGCCGTCCTCCCATCCCTCCCTTGGGTTGTCTGTTTTCTTTCTTTCTTTTCCCTTGGGTTGCGCACCACACACCTCTCCTTAAAATCCCTGTGTGGTGGCGGCGTGCCGTCCTCCCATCCCTCCCTTGGGTTGTCTGTTTTCTTTCTTCTTTCTTCCCTTGGGTTGTCCGTTTTCTTTCTTTCTTTTCACGGCTAGCGCATCACACACCTCTCCTTAAAATCCCTGTGTGGTGGCGGCGTGCCGTCCTCCCATCCCTCCCTTGGGTTGTCTGCTTTCTTTCTTTATGGGGCATGGGCCCTACTGCGAGGCGGAAGAGGGAGGTGGGGGGCAGGGAGAGGGGGGGGGAGAGGAGGGGGGGGGGTACGGGGGGGGCGGCATGGAGGGCGGGCTCTCAACGGCGACTTTCCAGGATCAGACCTGAAGGCAGCGGAGGAGGCGCACATCGCCAGTCTGGACGCGTATTGCCGCAAGCATTGGGCTCCGACGGGGCAGGTGGCAAATGGCCGATGGCCGGGCGGTGCGCCGCTCTGGTGGCATACAAGGGCCAGCCTGGACGACGGGGAGTGGGTGCCGCGCGTGCCGGCCTGGCAGTGCGCCGTGTGCGGGGAGGAAGCCTTCCCGTTTGAAGAGTGCGGGCGCTGCCGGCCTGCCCGCACAGCTCCAGTGCAGCACGGAGTGCCAGCGAGCACACAGGGAAGTACCGCGGGATAGAGCACACAGTGGATGCGACAGGAGGGCTAAAATCCGGAATATAGATTGCCAAGAGGGTGCTCTAGGCCGCAAAGACACCACACACGGTCTCCCTACTCATGCGCTGCTAGCAGGAGGGTGCCAAAAATGAGGCGCGTTGTGAAACCGCAGCTGTAAAAAAAAACTCCTCCCTGCGGCATGTGCGCAGAACGGGTTGCGCAATGTGCGGCATCGTGTTGAGGGCTCTCGAGGGCAACGACGGCAGCGTTGCCGAGCTTGTACAGGGACTCGTTCCGACGTGAAGTCGCCGTGAAGGATTGACAAACAGGGCATTTTGCCCAAGATTTGCCCTCCCGCGCGATCTTCTCGCGTCGGCAAGCGCGCCGGCCAGGATGGGCGAGCCGGTCCCGCCACGCTGGACGGGCCAGCGGCTGGCACGCGCCGGCCACCCCGGCGGCGCGGCGGCCTCATCGCGCTCGTCGTCTGCGAGGCCACCGCTCGGCGTCGCCGCGTCCGACGGCGATGGCGCTTGGCTGTGAGGTGGGATGGCGGCATGGTGCGCGCGGGCGTGGGGGTGGTGCGGGATGCGCGTGCCACGAGCAAGCATAGTTTCACCTCAGCCCACCCCGCAGGCGCGCCGACGTGCTGCCCGAGCGCGTTTGGAGGCAGCAGCAGCTCCTCGCGAGGCGCCTTCGGAGGGGTGCCACACCCCTTTCCCAGCCGCGCGCGAGTTGAGCTCCGATTTGCGCTCTTTTTCGCACACGCCCGACGCTAGTAGGTGAGGATCGACCATCCTCCGCAAGCAGGGCTTCGTCGGGCGCGTCTTCGTCGAGCGGTGGTGCATCTCCCATGCTCCCACCCGCGCCCTCCTGGCAGCCCGCCCGCGGCCCACACCGACGCCCTCACGTGCTCACCCTAGTCGTAGGTGCGGGTTTTTTGCGTGCCCTCCTCCGTCGATACGGCGCTGGGCGATGGCTGGGCTTGTCGCCGGGCGAGCTGGCCCCTCAGTCGGCCGCGGAGCGGAGATGCGAAATCGAGGCGGCGCGGCCCCTGCGCGCAGCCTATCCGGCCGGCGCGCGCATGGTTCCGTAGCCCGTCTAGTGCCTCACTGACCAACTCCAGCGCTACGGTGCACGTGGCCGGTGTGGTACTGGGGCTGGGCAGCCTTGGGGCCGGCGGAGACCGCCGTCTAGCGGTCGCACTAGTCGGATATCGTTGTTCAACCTGTTTGTTCAACGGTTGTTCAACCATGTTTTGAGCATTAATTATTAATTTGGGTTTGGGTCTCTGAGGTCGATACTAGCGTCTATAACTTGCCACAAGCATGCTTTACAAAAGTCCAGCGGAGCTGGACTCGCAGAACGGCCGTCCGCGCGCGCTGTGAACAGCGCCGTGGTTGAACACTGTTCAACGACGTTGAACACGTGACGGTCCAGTAACCGTGACTGACAGGCTGGGGAGTCGGCTTGTGTATACGTGTCGCGATGAGACCTGGCCAAAAAGAGTTGTTTGCGGCTAGCACGCACCTGGCCGACGCGGGGCGGCCAAAGTCGAAAACGAGGACTGCCAACGAGCTGCAGGGCGGCTTTGCTTGGGGCTCTCACAGTCTGCTGTGAGAGCCCCTGTGTGAAGAGTGCGTAAAGAGCCGGAACCCAGCGAGCAGCGATGGTGAGTGATCAGGTGCTTGGCAGCAGCCCCCCTGGGGCACGCGAGCTTAGCAGCGGCGCAGGATCCCTGAGCTGTTCCGACGAGGTCGTGGCAGCGGCTGAGCGAGGCGAGGAGGAGGCGGTGCTGGCGTGGCTCGAGGGCGGCGGGCGGGCCGACGCGACGTACGAGATGGGCAAGGTGAGCGGCCTCACGCTGCTGATGACCGCCGCCATCCCAGGCCACGAGCGGGTGGTCGAGCTGCTGCTCCGGCACGGGGCGGAGATCAACCAGCAGAACAGCGCCGGCGAAATCGCGCTGATGTGCGCCGCCGAAAGAGGCCACGAGCGGGTGGTCGAGCTGCTGCTTCGGCACGGCGCGGAGATCAACCTGCAGAACAGTAACGGCTGGACCGCACTAATGCTCGCCGCCGAGAACGGCCACGAGCGGGTGGTCGAGATGCTGATTCGGCACGGCGCGGAGATCAACCTGCAGAGCAGCAACGGCTGGACCGCCCTAATACTCGCCGCCCAGGAAGGCCACGAGCGGGTGGTCGAGCTGCTGCTCCAGCACGGCGCGGAGATCAACCTGCAGAACAGCGACGGCTTCGCCGCGCTGATGGCCGCCGCCTACAGCGGCCACGAGCGGGTGGTCGAGCTGCTGCTGCGGCGCGGCGCTGAGGTCAACCTGCAGAGGAACGACGGCGGCACCGCGCTGATGCTCGCCGCCGACAACGGCAACGAGCAGGTGGTCGAGCTGTTGCTGCAGCATGGCGCTGAGATCAACCTTCAGAGGAGCGACGGCGGCACCGCGCTGGATTCCGCCGCCTACAGCGGCCACGAGCGGGTGGTCGACCTGCTGCTGCAGCACGGCGCTGAGGTCAACCTGCAGGACAGCAAAGGCTACACCGCCCTGATGCTCGCCGCCTACAGCGGCCACCCCGCCGTCGTGCTCCGCCTGCTTCGGGCTGGCGCAGATGCAAAGGCTCGTTGTGCGGCCGGCATGACGGCGCTGCAGATGGCCAAGGAGGAGGCGGCCAAGGTGCTAGCTACTGCCGACGCCGCCAGTGCTCCTGAAACGGACCACGCCGGGTGTGTGCGGGCTCTCACAGAGCACGCAGCGGCGCTGAGGGAGGCGGAGGCGGCAGAGAAGGCGGCCGAGAAGGCGCGCGAGGCCAAGGGGCGGCGCGAGCAGCGCGAGCGGGAGGCGGCGGCGGCGGCGCGAGAGCGCGAGCAGACGGCACGACAGCGCGAGGCAGCGCGAGCGGCGTACGAGGCGCGCCGGGCGGCGGATGCGGCGGCGCTGGAGGAGCAGAGGCGAGCCATTGCGGCGGAGGCGGAGGCGAAGCTGGCCGCTGAGCGCGCGGCAGCAGAGGAGACACTGCGGGCGAGGGAGGCGGAGAGGCTTGCGGCTGAGGAGGCGCAGCGAGAGGAGCAGCGGGCGGCCGCGGCGGCGCGCAAGGCCGTTCAGGCAGAGGCGGCGCGGCGCGAGAAGGAGGCTGCGGACAGGAGGGCGGAGGAAGATGAGGCGAGGCGGCGCGCAAAGGCGGCGGAGGCAACGGCGGCCAAGAAGGAGGCCAAGGCGAAGAAGAAGGAGGCGAAGAGGGCGCCGTCTGCCTGCACGCTCGAGGAGGAGCGGAGGGCGCGGGCTGCGGCAGAGCTTCGCGCACAGGAGGAGAGGGCGGCGCAGCTGGCTGCTGAGCAGGAGGCGGCGAGGCGGGCGGAGCGCGAGGCGGCAGAGCTAGCGGGTGCGGCAGAGCGGGCGGCGCTGCGCGAGGATGCGGAGCTGGCAGAGGCGCTGCGCCGGTCAGAGGTGGATGCAGAGGAGGAGGCGCTGGCGCGTCGGGTGTCGCGGTGCGAAGAGGCGGTGAGCAGCGAGTCGACCGGCGGCGGCGGGGACTTGCCGCGGCGTGTCGAGCGGCTGGAGGCGAGCCTCGGCGCGGCGACCGAGGGTAGCCTCGAGGAGCGGGTCGGCGCCATCGAGCGCTTGATCGGGCCAGAGGTGGGAGAGGCAGCGGAGCAGCATCTGCCAGCCACCGAGCCGCTTGCTGCCGTCTCACTAGCGGACGCCGGCCTCGACACGGGGCGGCCGGCTGCCCCAGAGTCCACGATGGGGGGAGAGACCACGTGTATCGTGTGTTTCGCGAGAGTCAAGTCGCATGCGGCGGTTCCGTGCGGGCACTTGTGTGCTTGCGGGCCATGCTCTGAGCTGATGCGAGAGTGCCCTTACTGCCGCGAGCCAGTGATGATGTGGATGGTTCCGCGTCCGGTCTAGCGGGACCGGCAGTCTAGCGGGAGATAGATAGAGGGAGATACCGCAAAAGAATCGGCCAGACCAGAGTAAGGCCCGGCAGAAGAAGAACAAGGCGCGGAGAAGGCTGCGGCTAGTGCCCGCATTGATCACTCTGACACGCCGCGGCGCAATCTTGAAAACGTCTCCAACGGAGCTCCGTGTTGCTTCCAGCGCCCTCCCCCGCGCTTCTTGCGGCCATGGCCGATGCTCCTAGTATGAGAGGTCATCTGGCTACCGCGAGAGCGACCCAACTCGTCGACATCGTCCGATGATGGTGCCGCAAAGTTTCAGCCTTCGGAGGCTATTTGGGCATTGGGGTCGAGCCGGCAGTAGCCGTGACATGTGGTTCCACCACCCCTCGTAGGCTTTGCCTCTGACCGCCACCGTTCCCAGGCTGTCTAATGGGATGGAAAGGAAGGCTCGGCGAGCGTATAGAAGCGTGCTCGACCTCGTCGTGGCAACCTGTACGGCAGCGCTGGTAGGCGCGATGAGCGTCGTGCCACCTGACCCGAGACGGGCCGCAGGCGTCGTACCGAGCGCGTCGAGACCGTGTCCTGATGTGATCTGCACGGGTAAATCACGTCGGCGTCAAAGGAGCGACGTGCGACCTGTCAGAGCTTGATCTCCGATCTCAGCGGCGTCGAGTCGTTCTCCGGCGGCGACAATTTTGTCCCTCCCCCTCCCCTCCCCACCCGAGGTTGCGATGCTCGGCGTCGCGGCGATGGCCTCCGTCGTCATCCAAGAAGGCGACGACGCGGCGCCCAAGCTGCAGAAACGAGCTTTTAGTGGCTATAAGCATAGGCACTGAGATATGGTGCGCGCGGAGCGCGCTGGTGCTACCTGGACATACGCGCGGAGCGCGCTAGCTGGACACCCGCGCGGAGCGCGCCGGCTAGATACCGCGGAGCAAGAACAAATCAACACAACCGTTCGAATGCTGACGCCGCAAGTCGCTGCCGCCGGCTGCCAAAGTGCGCCTGGATTGCTCAGCAGCACAAGCATCCACGGAGCCAGCGAGCGCCGAGCGACATTGCCTTGACTGAGCCGGACCGCGACATGTCGGCGGTCAAACTTGATACTTGTAAAATGGTGCCGATGGCGGACGTGAGAGCACGGCCTGACGATCAAGCACGAGAGCGACGAACGGAGGCGCAGATAACTGCTGATACCTGTTGGAGCTGCGGAAGATGCAGTAGCACTGCTGCAGAGCACGCGCGGAGCGCGCCGCTGGAAAGCACGCGCGGAGCGCGCCGCTGGGTAGGTGCGGAGCGCCGCCACTTGAGATTGGGCCTGTGGGTGGGCCGAGTGGTTCCTAGCGTGTGAGTCAAACTCTTAATAGAAATCGCATCTAGCCCTCCACAACCCTCAAAAATTTCTTCGGGGCGCGCTCCGCGTGCCGCCTCTGAGGAGGCGCGCGCCGGGGTGCGGCGCGAAAGGGGCGCGCGATACATCGAGAGAGGTGCCGAGCGAGGGGAAAGATAGAGAGGTTTGAGCGAGATATCAACGGCTCACAACGCGTGTGTAGTCTTCTGTCGTGTACTCCAAAAAAGTAGAATTAGCAATATTTGAGGCTCTCTCTGTACTCTCCACGACCCCCCAGACGCCATTGGGAGCGGCGCGCCGATGTGTTCAAGCGACCGGCCTGGGGCGGGCGGCGCAAGCGCTGCGCTCTTCAGGTTCAGCATGCGTTCGCCTCTTCCCACTCACGGATCTGCCGGCGCACCATGTGGTTGGGGGCGAGGAAGGTGTGCACGAGCGCCTCGCCCGTCATCGGGCTCGTCGACTTGGTCGCGAGCCAGCGCTCGATCGCCGACCGCTCGTACGAATGCCCGTCCGCCGCCATCACCGGGTCACTCATGAGCTCGGTCGTGATCGGGCAGATGAAGTCGGCCGGCGGCTCCTCCTCCCTCGGAGCCGGCGCCTCTGCGGCCGACGACGGCCCTTGCGCCTCCGCCGCCCGCCTCTCCTCCTCCAGCCTCGCGCTCTCCTCGAGCGCCGCCGCAAGCTCCGCCTCCTCCGCCGCCGCCACCACCTCCCCCGACGCCTCCTCTGCCGGGGCCTCGGCCTCTTGCGACGGCCCAGCGCCGCCCCCGCCGCCCCCGCCGCCCTGCTTCTTCTTCTTGCCCCTCTTCTTGGCCTTCTTCTTGTCCTCGGCGCACTTCTCCGACTCCTCCTCCGCCAGCAGCGCCGCCGCAGCCTCCTCGGCCGCCCTCTCGGCCTCCACCCTCTCGGCCGCCGCCCTTTCGGCCACTGCCCTCTCCACCTTCGCCTCAATCTCCGCTCTCTTCGCCTCCCTCGCCGCCGCCTCAAAGGCGCGCTCGCACTCGGTGTGGCCCTTCTCCTTGGCCAGCTGCAGCGCCGTATGCCCGTCCAAGGTGCGCGCCGCCGTGTCTGCGCCCGCCCGCAGCAGGCAGAGCACGACGGCGGAGTGGCCCTCGTGGCACGCGGTGTGCAGCGGCGTGACGCCGTCGTCCCTGGCTTGGTCGACCGCAGCGCGGGCGCCGAGAAGCAGCCGGACGCACTCGAGGCGGCCGTTCTGGCACGCCATGAACAGCGGCGTGGCGCCGCCACCCTTGGCTTGGTTGACCGCCGCGCTGGCCTCGAGAACCAGCCGCACGCACTCGAGCTGGCCCTCCTGGCACGCGATGTGCAGCGGCGTTGCGCCGTCGTCCTTGGCTTGGTTGGCCGCCGCACCCGCCTCGAGGAGCAGCCGGACGACGTCGAGGTGGCCCTTCTCGCACGCCTTGTACAGCGGCGTGGCGCCGTCGCCCTTGGCTTGGTTCACCGCCGCGCTGGCCTCGAGGAGCAGCCGGACGATCTCGAGGCGGCCCTCCTGGCACGCGATGGCGAGCGGCGTGGCGCCGGTGTCCTTGGCTTGGTTGATCGCCGCGTCAGCCTCGAGGAGCAGCCGGAGGACATCGACCTGGCCCTCGTGGCACGCGGTGTGCAGCGGCGTGACGCCGTCGTCCCTGGCTTGGTCGACCGCAGCGCGGGCGCCGAGAAGCAGCCGGACGCACTCGAGGCGGCCGTTCTGGCACGCCATGAACAGCGGCGTGGCGCCGCCACCGTTGGCTTGGTTGACCGCCGCGCTGGCCTCGAGAACCAGCCGCACGCACTCGAGCTGGCCCTTCTGGCACGCGATGTGCAGCGGCGTTGCGCCGTCGTCCTTGGCTTGGTTGGCCGCCGCACCCGCCTCGAGGAGCAGCCGGACGACGTCGAGGTGGCCCTTCTCGCACGCCTTGTACAGCGGCGTGGCGCCGTCGCCCTTGGCTTGGTTCACCGCCGCGCTGGCCTCGAGGAGCAGCCGGACGATCTCTAGGCGGCCCTCCTGGCACGCGATGGCGAGCGGCGTGGCGCCGGTGTCCTTGGCTTGGTTGATCGCCGCGTCAGCCTCGAGGAGCAGCCGGAGGACATCGACCTGGCCCTCTTGGCACGCCATGAACAGCGGCGTGGTGCCGTCGTCCCTGGCTTGGTCGACCGCAGCGCGGGCGCCGAGAAGCAGCCGGACGCACTCGAGGTGGCCGTTCTGGCACGCCATGAACAGCGGCGTGGCGCCGCCACCGTTGGCTTGGTTGACCGCCGCGCTGGCCTCGAGAACCAGCCGCACGCACTCGAGCTGGCCCTTCTGGCACGCGATGTGCAGCGGCGTGAAGCCGCCGCCCGTGGCTTGGTTGATCGCCGCACCAGCCTCGAGGAGCAGCTGGACGATGTCGGCGTGGCCCTTCTCGCACGCGATGTACAGCGGCGTGGCGCCACTGTCCTTGGCTTGGTCGACCGCAGCGTTGGCAGCGAGGAGCAGCCGCACGCACTCGAGCTGGCCCTTCTGGCACGCGACGTACAGCGGCGCGGTGCCGTCATTCTTGGCTTGGTCGACCGCCGCGCTGGCGCCGAGGAGCAGCCGGCAGATCTCGACATGGCCCTTGAAGCACGCGACGTACAGCGGCGTGGTGCCGTCGTCATCGGCCTGGTTGACCGCCGCGCCAGCAGCGAGAAGCAGCCGGACGCACTCGAGCTGGCCGTTCTGGCACGCCATGTACAGCGGCGTGGCGCCGCCACCGTTGGCTTGGTTGACCGCCGCGCTGGCCTCGAGAACCAGCCGCACGCACTCGAGCTGGCCCTCCTGGCACGCGATGTGCAGCGGCGTGAAGCCGCGGCCTGTGGCTTGGCTGACCGCCGCGCTGGCCTTGAGGAGCAGCTGGACGATGTCGGCGTGGCCCTTCTCGCACGCGACGTACAGCGGCGTGGCCCCGTTGTTCTTGGCTTGGCTGACCGCCGCGCTGGCGCCGACAAGCAGCCGCACGCACTCGAGCTGGCCCTTCTGGCACGCGGTGAACAGCGGCGTGGCGCCGTCATCCCTGGCTTGGTCGGCGTCAGCGTTGGCGCCGAGAAGCAGCCGCACGCACTCGAGCTGGCCCTCCTGGCACGCGATGGCCAGCGCGGTGGAGCCACGGCCCGTCGTCGCCCCCACACTCGCGCCGCTCTCCAGCAGCAGCCGCACGGCGTCGGCCTGCCCGTGCTCAGCAGCGATAATCAGCAGCGTGAAATGGTTCTGCGCCTCGAGCCGCGCGTCGAGCAGGGCCGTGAGCGCCGGGCCGCGCGTCTGCCCGGCGAGGAGGGCGCGCAGCGAGGTCAGGTCGCCCTTGGCCAGGTCGTCGGGCACGGTCGGGCTGATGGCGCCGCTCATTCTCATTCCGGGGGGGGAGCAGCGAAGAAGAATTTTTCAAAAAAACTCCCTCGCACAACACTGGGCACGGGACTGGCGCGCACTGGCACTAACACAGGTACACCACGGGAGCCGCCTAAGCGACTCCTGCGAGGGTGGCGAGGCACTTAGGCCACAGGCAAGCTCATTCACGACCTGCTCTGTCTGCGATGGCCGTGTGAAGAACGACTGAGATACGCTGCTTCTGCAGCCCCAGCCAATTCTTAGTAGAAGGATGGTGCGGCTGCGCGAGAACGCGTGGTTGGCCGGGGCAACTCGGAGGACGGACGTGCGCCAATTTTGCTTCTTTTGTCGACGGTAAACTTAAAAAAAGCTGATTTAGATATATTGCTAGGGTGCCGGTGTCCTGTCTGTTCGTCTGCTTCTGCTGTGCTGTTACCTCCGGTCCACACGCAGGGTACTCCCGTGCTAGGACAACAAGGCCCCACGGTACACGTGTGTGTGTGTTACAGATACACTTGTGTGTTATTGATACCACACACAAACCACATCGTACGAGGCGATCTCGCACCCGCGCCGTCGCATGTCTCCGTGTCGATCACGGCGAAGCTGGGCGTGTGCGCGTCGATCTCGAGGCACGGCCGGATGTGGTCTCGAGCGTACGGAGGCGCTCGTCGAGTGGCGGATAAATGTTGGCAGAGTACTCGTCCGCGCAGACCTCGGCGTACGCGTAGCGCCGAACGAACAGGTTTGCGTAGTGACTCACGGAGCCGAGTGCAATGGGCACTCGCAACTGCGTGCCGTGGGCCAGCACCCATTCGAGGCGTGGCAACCTGCTACTGCCATCCATGAAGTGCTTGACATCGTGCTGCGAGCCACAACTGCCATGTTGGTGCAAATCGAGCCATAACGCACGATGTACATTGGCCACGGACTTCGGGTAGCCTGCGCTCGGGGCGCTCTCATTGTCGCAGGCGCGCGTCGTGAAACGGACGGCGAGCGAGCCAGTCGACGCGCGTTCCGTCGTGAGAGTGCGGCCCTCAAACAGCCATGTGCATGGCGGCTCGCGTCTGCCATCGACGTACAACGGACTGGCCATCAATGAGGCGACTAGCAGCGCCTGCAGCGACATCTGCGGTGAGGCGCGCGGCACGAAGAGCTCATCGCCATCGTGGACAGCGATGCAGTCGTCGTTGAAGCTCTGCGCATGCGCAAGCACCGCCTGGTAGAATTGTACTTTCTATTAAATGAACTCGGGGGCACGGGACGCGGCACAAACGGGGCACAAACGCCAGGCTACAAAGACGGCGAGGCACGTAGTGACGCAGGGGAGTCTAGGCGACGGCGGCGTCCTCCGACGCCGCGGCGAGCCTGAGCTCGGTCGCAATCTCTTCCGCCGCCGCGAGCTGCAGCGCGACTGACATGCGCTGGGCCTGCAGCGAAAGCCACGACCGCGTCGACCAGCTCGCCTCGTCCTCGTGCTGCCGCTTCGAGAGCTTGTTGCGCACCTTGTCCTTCATCTGGTAGAACAGCCGTTTGACCGCGTTGCACCACCCGCCGAAGGTTTCAAACAGGTACATCTGCACGTCGGTGTCCGAGCGCGAGAGGGCGTGCGCGTAGTCCGCCTTCTTGTACGCCACATAGCCGCCGCCGTCGCTCGGCCTGAAGTCGCCGTCCCCGACAGCGCCGCGCTGCTCGAGGCCGAAGACGTCCGCGCTCGTGCCGGGCTCGGTGTTGCCGAGGCCGACGAAAGCGCCTCGCTGGCCGACGTCCTCCGGGTTGGAGGAGAGCGAGTCCTTGAACTTGACGTCGCCGATGAGGCGCGAGCGCGAGCGGCCGGCGCCCGCCACCGAGACGTCGGGCCGGTAGTCGTTAGAGTAGCCGAGGTGGTCCCGCGGCTCCACCTCGACGAGCATGCCCCACACGCTCCGCATGACCTTGGCCAGGGCGGCGAGCAGGCTAGACGGAGGATACTGACGTATATAGGATCGGAATAGGACCCGCGCCTCCTTAAATCTTTGACGGCTCTATCGTACTCTACGTGGCAGCCCAGTAAGTTAGAGCCGTAGCGCGACCGGGGTCGCTAAAGTAAGTCGGGGTATTCTTGTATATTGATACAAACGACCACGACGACACACACCAATGTCGACTCGCATCACACACTCTCACACACTGAAGGGGATGCCGAGCGCCGTGCCGATGTCCATCGGGTCAGCTTCTCCACACACACAAGGTGGGGTGGGGTGTCCGCGGTGAACTAAAAGAGGAGAGGTCTGCGCTTGCGGCTCCGCTTCGCGGCGCAAGTCAGCAGGGTGCGAGATTTTTCTTTTTTGAACTATCTTCTGAGAAACTGTGGCGTGTGGTATAGAGCCGTACTGCAACCATGTGAGAGCGGTTCACAGCCTTGTTATGAGAAAGAAAATACGTCCTCGGCTTTATTTGCGTACGGCTTTATGGCGCTATGCGCTGGTCTGTGAGAGGTTGAGGTGGCAGGTGCGAGCCCTGGAGGCCCTCCCTGGGGATGGTTCACATCCTGTATCCTGTATCCTGTATCCGATCGTACTGGTGTGTGTGTGTGTGTGTGTGTGTGTGTGTGTGTGTGTGTGTGTGTGTGTGTGTGTGTGTGTGTGTGTGTGTGTGTGTGTGTGTGTGTGTGTGTGTGTGTGTGTGTGTGTGTTGTGTGTTGTGTGTGTGTGTGTGTGTGTGTGTGTGTGTGTGTGTGTGTGTGTGTGTGTGTGTGTGTGTGTGTGTGTGTGTGTGTGTGTGTGTGTGTGTGTGTGTGTGTGTGTGCTCCAGATGGAGAGTACAAGTTTATTCACACCTGCTGTCCACATGTGTGCTGTCCAGGTCGACAACGGAATATCCACGGTGTCGTCGCGTACCATCACACGAACCGCCAACCCTCCTCTTCTTTTGGCGGGCAAGCGGTGCGAGAGGGGTGTCATAACACTCGCCAGAATGGTCGTGCTTCTCTCACCCACCGTTGCCCCGCTCACGGTCGACGCGTCGCTGCGAGTCTCCTTGGTGCTGGCGAAGGCCGCCTGCGAGCCAGGAGCAGTCTGTGCTCCGGATTGGCTACTCCCTGTCGCCGCGCTGGCATGCCTGTCATTCCCGCTCGCCATTCTAATCTCGACCGGTGAGGCCGGCACGGATCGATACAATCGCGAGGTGGCTGGCGTGACGCTCCAGTCGCGAGCCGTCGACCAGTTCAAAGGGTGGATCGACGGCATTAAAGACGACGGCGACGCAACAATTCCCTCGCAGGTCCGAGATCCCTCGCAGGCCACTCGTGCACACTAGTACACGAGGTGTTTTCATTCGTTAGGCGTCAGACGAGCCAGTCACGGAGCAGGAGAAGGAGACAACGTTCTTTGACAAAAACAAGAACACCTACGGCAGCCCGGGCGGCTTTTAAGCGGCTCCTCCCGCCACAAAAGGCACCCTGCTGCGCGCTGCGGGTTAAGTAACACCGACGCGAGGTGAGGAGGGTGGGTGCTGGTGAATGTGGATGGTTGTGGGTGATGAGGTGCGAGGAGAGATGTGTGGCACTCATGTCGGTCACTCAAAGAGCAATCGAAATAAGGCGGTGCGCCAGCATTTTGACGCCTCTCATTCTCCCCTTCGCCCTCTCTATAGAGCCTAGTCCTCACTCCTCAGCTCCTCTCCCCCCCACACTCCTAGCTCCTTCCTCCGGCCTCTCTCTGTCTGTCCCCTCCCTCCCTCCGACGACGAGAACCCCTCCATCCGCAGAATCCCCCATACCTAGCTTCTACGGCGAGGGCGAGGCGCGAGCGGGAGATTTTGAACAGGGCACGTCCCACCATGCAGAGCGCATCTCTCTCTCTCTCTCTGTGTTGTGCGAGGCGTGAACCGCGCCATTCGCTCTCACCTGGCAACCCTGTCTGCATGTCTCACGCGCGCGTGAACAGGGCCAGGCCGCCCCGTGTCGAGGCCGGCGTCCGCTAGTGAGACGGCAGCAAACGGCTCGGCGACTGGCAGATGCTGCTCCGCCGCCTCTCCCACCTCTGGCCCGATCAAGCGCCGATGGCGCCGACCCGCTCCTCGAGGCTGCCCTCGGTCGCCGCGCCGAGGCTCGCCTCCAGCCGCTCGACACGCCGCGGCAACTCCCCGCCGCCGCCGGTCGACTCGCTGCTCACTGCCGCCTCGCACCGCGACACCCGACGCGCCAGCGCCTCCTCCTCTGCATCCACCTCTGATCGGCGCAGCGCCTCTGCTAGCTCCGCATCCTCGCGCAGCGCCACCCGCTCTGCCGTACCCGCTAGCTCTGCCGCCTCCCGCTCCGCTCGCCTCGCAGCCTTGCGGCGGTCCTATTCCCAGGGATCCCTTCCCAGCTCGCGGGGCCACTTCTTATATACAAGTTTGACCCATGACCGCCGACATGTCGCGGTCCGGCTCAGTCAAGGCAATGTCGCTCGGCGCTCGCTGGCTCCGTGGATGCTTGTGCTGCTCAGCAATCCACTATCCAGGCGCACTTTGTGGCACCCGGCGGCAACGACTTGCGGCGGTCAGCGGATTTGAACGGTTGTGTTGATTTGCTCTTGCTCCGCGCACACACCGGTATGCTCGGTCACACACACTGGTACACGGACAGGCTGGTAAACACAGATGGTCCTGGTACACGTATGGCACATTGTACATGGTGTGACAATCCCTCGCTCACGACCCCCCCGGACCCTTCCCGGGCCAGACATGCACGTATGCTGAGTCGTGTTGTCGTGCGGCTTCGTTGTCTGCGCCTTCAGCGCTCCCCCTCGCAAGCCTGCGAAGCCCGCTCGCCAGCTCCTCCTTAGTGGAATACTCGCATCATCGCCGTCGGCACGACGCGGCACTTGGGACACCTCTCAAGCTTGGCGCCGCACCGCTCGCACACGCATTGGTGTCCGCACGGGACAAAGATGTGCGTCGCTGGCGCGTCCCAGCAGACGATGCACTCCGGTTGTTGGAGGGCATCGGCGGCGGCCCCCGGCGGCACGGCTTGGAGCGAAGCGGCTTGCTTCTCATCCTGCTGCTGCTGCAGCGGCACAGCGTGGGCGGCGGCAGCTGGAGGAGTCGCCTCTAGTGGGAGGGTGGCCTCTGGCGCGGGGGCCGACTCGTGCGCCAAGCAGCCGACGCCTGCCGCCGCTGACGAGGACTCCGCCGCCGGCGCGTGCGACGCAGCGGCGTGCGAGGAGGAGGAGGAGGTGTGCGAGGAGGTGGCGGCGGGGCCAGAGCTTCTGGCCTCGGTCGCAACCGCTGCTCCTGCATCCCTCGCAGTCCGCAGCGCCACGAGACGAGCGCACCACGCCAAGGCTGAATGCAGGTGCCGGCGGCGTTGCCCGCCCGTTACGCTGGCCGCCTCCGAACACGCCGCCGCCGCCGCCGCCGCGCCCGCGCCCGTCCTCCCCACAGCGACGGCGCTCGGCCCGCTGCCCGCGACAGCCTCCTCTCCCGCGGCAGCCGCAGCCGCCGTAGCAGCGGCAGCGGCGGCAGCAGCGGACCGGCGGCGTTGCCTCTGCCCTCGGCGCGGGGCAGTGGCCACAGAGCGGCCCCTGGTCCTTGCGAGGAGCATCGCACCCGGCGCCGCGGCAGCCAGGGGCAGCCTCGCCGCAGCAAACGACGCGGCGAGCACTGCGGCGGTGAGAAACCAGGTGGAGTAGCTAGCGCTGTCCCCCTTGTCGAGGAAGGCGGCGAGGTCGCGGTGCCCATTCTCGCGCGCGTAGTCGATAGCTTGCCTGCCCCGTTTGTCTAGCACGCCCCTGCGGGCGCCGCCGGCAAGCAGTCGCTCGACAAGCGCGTGATGTCCGCCATCAGCGGCGATCATCAGCGCGCTGGCCCCGAGAACCTTGTCCTGCATATCCAGATCCGCGCCCGCCTCGATGAAGGTCTCCACGAGACCAATGTCGAGACGGTTCACCGCGAAGATGAGAGGCGTGAGGCCGGTGTCGGCAGTCCTTGCGTCGACATCGGCCCCGCGCGCCAGGAGCAAGCGGCAGATTTCGGGCCGCACCTTGTCGGCCGCGTGGTGGAGGAGCTGGTAGCCCTCTGCATCTGCCGGTCGCGGGCGGCGAGCAGAGTTCGCGCGGTGAGGTGGGCTGACGTGGAGCGCGGGCTGATGTGAGCGAAGGGTGGCGCACCATGGGCAAAAGCAAGCCGAGGGTCCCACGACAGCTCGAGGTCGAGAGTTTGCAGCGCTCCGCTGCTTGCTGCGAGCACCACACGTTCGGGGAGCACCACCCGCTCTCTCGGATCGTGGCGAACGACGCCGAGAAGGGTGGCGGACAGCAGAATCATCAAAGGCGGCGCCCTTTTGGCGACGATACGCTAGTCCCCCCCAGGGTTCCGGCTCCTAGCCAGATAGGGGGTCTGTGGTCCTAACTTCTTTTGTAATTGTTGGAGGCTCATCACACGTCGGGACGACTGGAGTCGACTCTCATACCCTAGGATCAGACAGGTCAGAGTGTGTGACGACGTGGGTGGGTGACTTTGGGCCACGGCCCTCACCTGTTAGCTCCGAATGATGATCTTCCAATTCGTTCAAGAGATGAGACAATCTCCCTGCCGAGCTTGTTCACACCGCGTGTTCACAGCTCGACCTGTGCCGCCGCATGGCACTATAGCGAGATCGCAATCTCTCGCTCAAGAGATGAGGCAATCTCCCTGCCGAGCTCGTTCACACCGCGTGTTCACAGCTCGACTTGTGCCGCCGCATGGCACTGTAGCGAGATGACGATCTCGCTCAAGAGATGAGGCAATCTCCCTGCTGAGCTAGTTCACACCGCGTGTTCACGGCTACACCCGACGACCTCGGGAACTAGCCGGGGCAGTCGGAGAAGGGGCAACTCCGTGCACTGACGGTCGGCCGTCAGAAAACACGCCTCCGTGGCTCGGGTTACACCAATCCTCGCTACCCAACGCGGCCAAAGGATATCCACCTCGAGAACCTCGATAACTAGTTCAACTTGTAGCTCGATCGGTCACACCGCCATCGCCGTCGGGGAGAGGGGGGACGACACTGCTTCGGCAGCGTGCACCTCGATCCTGTACCGTGTTTGTTATGACCCCCCCCAATGAACATACCAGTGAGGGTGGGCGAGACGATCGAGGGGTCCCGTACCATGCGGAACCGACCCTATCCAGTGCTCAAGTGCTCAAGTTCAACGTCCGAGATGGCCGCAGCACAGGCCACGCGTCGCGCCGCCGGCCAAGCCCAGCCTCTCCGCGGTCGAGTTGGTCGAGCTGGCGGGGCCGGCGAAGATTTCGGGGACGTGACCGCAACTCGCTCGGGCAGCGACAGCGCGCTTGAGCTGCGCATGACCGACGAGCCTGGGGCGGGGCGGCGGGCGGGCGAGCGGTGCGGAGCGGCGTGTGCGTGTGTGTGGCTACGGCAAGTGTGACTGCGACACGGGACCACTGGGTATTATTAACAACCAAGGATTGATTGATTGATGGGAAGGCGAAACACAGTCCGACCAACGACTGGGACACCAACGCGGTATGGGTGGACGCTAGACGGGCGATGACGGTCACACAGGAGCGACACACAGATAACCACAAGACAAGACACTCAGCCGAACTGACTGCCACACATCCTGAGCGAACTTCCCTAGTCACCCGCGGCCGGACTCCATCCGGCACGCGTCGCTGGGCGCTCAGAGCTGCGTCCCCTGCTCGCCACCCCGACGCCCAAGGCGCCCGAGCAAACGACAGGCGGCACGCGAAGACTGGTTGCAATCCCGCCGACCGCCAGGCCGCGGGATGATGCGTGCGTGGTCTTGTGTGGGTTCTCCCAAGGCGCTCTCAAAACAAGAAAATCGACCTTGCAAACAAATGAGGCGGGCTGCCGCTCAGGCCTCGGTGTGCATCTCTCCTCTGTCAAAGACGCTGCTGAGTTGCTCCGATGCTCACGGACATGCCTTCACGGTGGTGGTCGTTTTTGGCGTCCCCAGCCAAGGTCGACGCGAGCACCGGCGATGCGATCGTGCGCTGCGAGCAATCGACGGCAAGCTCTGTCGATGTCGAGGTCTCGCGTTTCGCAACACGCATCCACCAGCGGCCTCTCGCTCGCACGAACCCTTCTGTGGGAGGCATACACGCCTGGGCATTTGTCAAGGCCACCGATCCAGACGCCACCCTCACAGCAGCTATCCCGCTGCTGCTGTCCATCCTTCTCATGTACGCTCAGTCAGCGATGGTGTACATGGTTGCCTACGAGGCTGCATCCCCCCGCTGTTCGAAGCACGAACACTGCCCGGCCGGAGCGTACTGCGGCCCCAAAGACTTTTCTCCGGTCTATGGGGAGCCGGTCACGCGGCAGCCGTGGCGGCACGAGAAGGCGCCAGGCTTTTGTTTCGACTGCTACTGGACGTCAGAGAACGCGTCGGGAAATTCCGTGGCCGTAAACCGTGGGCATAGCCAAGCGCTTGCCGTGCCAGTGAGAATGGAGAGTCAGCTAGTCGACGTTTGGTCGAATGCCAGCTTCGCGGTTGGCGCCGGCTGGTTCGCTCACAGTGGCGCTGAGGACCTCACCGGCGAGCAGTGGTTTCGCGACGCTGCGGCCTACTGTGATGCCAACGACATCCTACCCTTTCGTTGTGACCACCTCGTCGAGCGCCAGAGCCGACTCGCCGCGGCGCACTACGTCGTCATCGTCTTCGTCGTCTTGCTTGTGTTGATGCCACTCGTCGAGGACTGGGATGAGGCTGCACTGGAGAAGCGGTTGCTCCGTCACCGCTCGCGTGCTATCGGAGGAGAGCTTCCCCTGTGGATACGCTGCTTGGCCTGGGTTCACATTCGGATGCGCATGTTTGCCCTGCCGTTCTGCCTCGTCAGTGCAACGTGCGCCCTCCTTTTCAACGATGAGACGTGCACCGAATTCCTGCTAGATGGGCTCGCAATCACATTCACCACCTTCACTGACGACCTCCTCGCACAGTTTCTTCTGCCTAATGAGGAGCGTCAGGAGTTGGGTGCCGCAATCGAGGCTCTTGTTGAGGAGGAATCTGGCCACGCGTGCCCGCAGCGCTTCCTGAAGTGGCTATTCAACAGGTTGTATGCGGCGGTGCTCGGGGTTGCCGTGGTCGCCGTCAACCTCGAGCCGGAGTCGTTCATGGTCACCTTTGGGCCGGATTGGGTATCTCCATACAGATCACTTTCGTGCGAAAACCTGCTCGAAGCTTTTGGGTGCTGTATCTTCCTCTGCTGTTTCGTTATGGGCGGTATATGGCCGCTCCTGCGCGAGCAGTCCGTCCTCTCACAGCGGTCAAAGTGGCGTGCGCTCGTACATATGGCTGGCGACGGGTACTGCACGATGACACTCTTCGTTGCAGCTGGGTGGCTCAATCCGGCGAATCGTTACTATTTTCCTGCCTTTTTGCACAACCCGCTCGCCGTTATGCTGATGTGGCCGCTCTACTCCGTTCCCGATATCACTGCAAGCCTATTCGCAAACTCTGCTTGCAATGAATACGATGCAACCCGCATAGACGCAGGCGACTGTGTGCAGGCAGCTCTGCCGTGGCTGGTTGTTCGACTGGCCCTGCTCTGCTCGGTGGTCGTTCTTTGTGTCGCGGTCGCGTGGGCCCGCGCGTCGACCTCACGGTGGGCTAACCCTCGCGCGACTCACGGCTGCATTGCCTGAGGACAGATTAGCAGCGAGGAACTAGAGACGGCCGCCGAGATTTAGTAGGTCGCCGAGTTCCAGCGAAATATGGACTCTACTATGTAAACCTTTATGTCTAGTGTGGCGGAGCATGTATGCGGCTAGAGTGTGAACGGCCTGGTTCTCATGAGTCATGTTGTCAACACTTCGCGGGTTTTTTATTTTCAGTCATGTCGGTTCCTGCTGTTGCATGCGTTGGGGCGTCACCCAGCTTCCAATCTCGTCCGCCTTCGTCAATTCATGCGCCTGCGGCGACAGAGACTGCAAGATACTCTTGTTAGGGGCGCATGTGCGATGTGGGCGCTTCGCGATGGACCAGAGCCCACCGGCCCTGGGTCAAAGCCGTGGACGACAGGACGAGAGCTCTACCTGCGGCTCGGCGAATTTGCAAGGAAGGTTAAGAATCCTTCGGCCCGGAGCTAAGTGCCTCGCCGTCCTCACAGGAGTCGCTTAGGCGGCTCCCGTGGTGTACCTGTGTTAGTGCCAGTGCGCGCCAGTCCTGTGCCTAGTAAACAAAAGAAGAAAGAAAACAGACACTCAGCCCAGACACTCGGCCACCACACAGGGATTTTAAGGAGAGGAGTGTGGTGCTAGCCGTCGCCCACAGACTTGGGCGTCTGCCTCTTCCTAGATCTCTCTTCGCAGTTTCTCGCCAATTCTCTAACACTCACACTCCAATTCTGTCTCTTTTTTCATCAATATGCTACAGAACCGCGCTGGGAGGAGGCCGAACTGCATGGTTGACGACACCGACACTAGCCGCGTGTGCTGTGAAGTGCAGCGCGGTGTTGTGGAGGAGCGTGATCCCTCCTCGTGTGCGAGCGAGCGCGTTGAGGGTTGCTGCTTGCCGCTTGCTGTTCTCGGCATATAACGTAAACAATTGTTATCATCACTCGAAAACAAAACAACATCTGACTGCTCCTGTGGTGGGGGCGACGGCTTCTGAGGAAGCCGTCGCCCTCGCCTTGTGAGTTTTTTGTCGCCTTGTCGTAAAAGTTATTTTACCGAGCACTTAAAAATTACCGACCACTTAAAATTTTTATTTTTATCGGCGCTTGTTGGACCTGTCGAGCCCTTGTCGATGACTCGACTATCACCGACGTTGCCAGTCGACGTCACCGTCAGGTGGGGTGGGGTGTGTGTGGCGAGGAGGAATGTGGAGGGGGCTGGGTCACAGTTGGAAGCTACCGGCTCGACCGTTCGCGGGGTGCCGGTGGGGGGAAGAAAAACGAAGGGACGCCGGCGACATCCGGAGAAAACGGGGGCGTTACCGGGAGTCTTTTCTGAGAGTAGGTAGGTAGGTAGAAAGGTGCATAACAGCCAGGCTCGGACTGGACACCAACGCGGTATGGGTGGACGCTAGACAGATGATGACGACACGCACGAGCGACACACAGACACAAACAGGCTCACAAGACACACAGCCAGCTGGCTGCCACACACCCTGAGTCGGCGTATACATAACTCAGGGCCACATCCTCCCTGTCGCCCCCCCCAGCACTCCACGGTGCCAAGGGCACAAACAAGGGCACAACTCAAACAACAGACAACAGGAAGTGACATGTGAGGCTAGAGCAGCTGGCTCCACCTCTAGCAATCTCGCCGGCCTGCGAGGCACGGACGAGACCGTATGTGGGGTCTAGTGAGGTGTCTATGGACGCTCTCCTCATGGGCTAGCCGCCTACGGCTAGCCCTTCTCGCACTCACAGGCGATGACAATCCATTGTATGAGCGTATGCAAGCTGAGGCGCGTGTGCTAAATCTAGGCCGCACGTCGTGGCACTATGACGGAGGTAGACGTGCGGCCGCAGCGCGCCCACCACAGTTTCGGTGGGGCGCGCGTGTTAGCAAGAGAGTTGCGGGGAGAGCCATGCCCGACTTTTCGGAGGCGAGCCCCACGCCACGGATGCCAGCCGTGCTTTCGCGGGAGTCGTCTCCCAAGCCGCGTCCCGTCAGCACTGTCCCCGAGCGGTCCCGCCTCGGCGGCACACACTCTCGACCAGGACAGTCCCGCCAACGGAAACGTGTCGCGCGCCGGCGACGATTGCGGCGTGGTCGTTGTGAAGCGGAGATGGCACGACCACCGCCCTGCTTCGCAGACCGGGCAAGGAGGGGCCTGCTCCCGTTCCGCGAGGAACGGGAGGTCTCCCGCCCTCCCCCGGCCTGAGCAGCGACGCGTGGAAGGCAGCCCCTTGAGTCGAGGGCGGCGCGGCCATTGCGCCGACTCAAAGACCAGCTAGCTGGTCCGTTCAGTACAGATGGTCTCGCCGCCCCGCTCCGCGTCGCCCGCCCGCCGCGCCGCGCCGCCGTCCGATGATTATTAAGTTATTATTAATTAATTAATAAGTAATTATACCACCCGCTGCCGCGCCCCCCCGCCCTGCGCCGCCCGCTGCCTCGCCGCGCCGCCGCCTCGCGCCGCCCGCCGCCGCGCCGCGCCGCCGCCCGACGATTAATAACTAATAGTTGTTATCCTAATTACTAACTAATAAATAAGTAATTACACCACCTAGCCGGACCCTCACTGCCCGACTGAATACCTCCCCCCAACGGAATTCTGTAATACAGACTATTAATAATTAATCATTAACACACAAGTAACTACACCATCCAGTTCCACTATACTCCATCAGCAGCTCAGCGCTGATCGCGCTGCACCTATTTCGGAGTGAGGGCCGTGGCCCAAAGTGACTCACGTCACACACTCTGACTCGTCTGATCCCAGGGTATGATCTTGAGAGGTAGGTAGGTAGTAGTCCACTCCAGTCGTCCCGAGGTGTGAAGACCCTCCAACAATTACAAAAGAAGTGAGGACGTGTCATCTGTCAAGTGCCGACATGTGTAGATCCCCCATCAAATAAGAAGTTAGGACGTCTGAGAAAAGAAAGAAAGAAAGAAAACGGGCAACCCAAGGTTCCGGGGTGTCGAACGAGACGCTTCCAAAATAAGGCGCCGTGGCGCCCAACACTGCTCGCTCCCTCTCGCTCCACCGCCGCCGGCGAGCACAGACCCGCAGCCCGGGGCCGCGCGGCCGGGCGCCACGGTGATGGCGGCCTCGCGGCCGTCCATCGATCTCGACGAGGATATCGCGGCCCTCCTGGAGCGGGCGCGCGTTTCTGCGCTCGTCTCCGGTAAGGTGGTGCCGCAGCTGCTGGCCCAGGACGTCGGCAACGTCGCGGCGCTGCTCGAGGCGGTCGCCGAGGACGGCCTCGAGGGGCTCGGCCTCGGCAAGACCGTGCAACGTCAGCTGTGCCGCTGCCTGCCGGCCCTGAACAGCTGCGACGCGGCTGAGGCAGCTTTGTCGTCCTTTGCCTCCCTGTCTCTGGTCGAGCCCCCGCTTGGGGCTGCGACTGGCGCGCAGGCGGGCAGCAGCGCGATGGCCGGCGGCGATGGTGCTGCTGGCGAGCGCGCTGGCGGCGGCGGCGGTACGGACGCTGCCGAGGGTGCCGCGCGTGCCGCAGACGGGCATGCGATTGCCGCAAGCGGCCCCCGCGGCGGAGCTGGGAGTGGCTCCGCTGGCGAGGAGCACGGCGGCGGGGCCGCGGCTGGCGGCGAGGGCCGCGGCGGCGCGCGCCCCAAAGAGGCGGACAGCGGCGCCTGCAGTGCGCAGGCCGCGGAAGGCGGAACCGGAGGCGGCGCCCCGGGGGCCTATATGGACCCCGTGGCGCCCGCGCTGCCGGCTAGCGGCGATGGGACGATCGCCGCCGCGGGGGGGGAGGAGGAGGTGGAGGGCGCCGCTGCCGCCGCCGAGGCGGGCCGCCGCGCTCCGAAGACCCTAATTGTTGCCGATCCTTCAGCGACGCGCCATACCGACACCGGGCACAGTTCGCAGCCACTTGCTGCGTCCGCCGGAGCTTCGGATTCTACTTACAGCGGCGCGGACGCGGAGGATGCGGTGGCAGGAGGGGGCTCTGGGGCGGCGGAGGCGAGCGCGGCGGCCACGGCCGAGGAGGACAAGCGCGTCCGGGCGCTGAGGATTGCCCTGCAGCACAGGACGCAGATGCCCGTGACGGACGAGGAGGCCCGGGCTATCCTCCAGGCGCGAGGGGGTCGCGAGACGCCCGTGACGGAGGAGGAGGCGCGGGTCATCCTTCGGGCGCGGGGGGACGTCGGGCACGGCAGGGCTACCTTTCAGGCGCGGGCGCGCGGGCGCGGTGGGCGCGCCACGGCATCGCCGGCGCTGGCGAGCAAGGGCGGCGAGAAGCTATCGCGGCGTGGGAAGAAGGCGGTGGCGAAGGAGGCGGGCGAGGTGGTATCACGCGAGGAAGGCGAGGCGATTTATCGCGCGACGCTCGAGTCGCTGTTGGCGTCCACCGGGTGGACGCCGCGCGCCGCGGAGGAGAGGGCGCGCGAGGAGCAGCGTGCGCATGTTCGGCAGATGCGCTGGGCAAGGGAGCACGGCCGGGGGGAGCCGGTCCGGTGCTTTGACGCGGAGGAGTACGACGAAGGCGACGACGCTTTCGACGCGCTCTTCGACGGGGGCTCGGGGTACGGGTGGGATTCCCCCTCGGGGGGCGGCGCTTTCTTCTAGGCGCCCGCCTTGACCCAACATAGAGGGAGCGGACCCTGAGTTGAGGAAATCGGGGGACGCGACCCACTTCGCCACAGACGGTCCCGCGCCTCGCCGCTATGACGGGTAGACGACCGCGGCTCGTGTGCGTCTACCCGTCTTTGTCCGGAGTGAATACTCCAACGCGCTCGTCGGTGACGGCGTCCCCCGATTTCGCCGCGCTCGGCGAACCTCGACAGCGCTTTCGGTGGCATGCAGCTCTTTGCGCCTGAAGCCTGGAGAGCAGCTCCTCTGCTGCTCATACGCTCTGCACAGTTGGCACAGCCTACTGTGCGGCTGCCACAGCTGTGACAGCGATGGGCTCGCCCTCACTGGCCCTCAGTCACTCGTGCTGCGGCTTGTGTGAGCGACACTGCTCGGCGACTGCCGGCACACTGTGAGACCATGGGTGTGAGGTAAAACCACGCTACCAGCGCTTGGTCACATCAGCCCTGAGGTCATATCCTTCTCCTCTGTTGATGGTAACACTTGTCTACTCGCTGGAGCCGAGCAGGAGGGCTTGGCGCACAACCCCTGTTCAACTCAGGGTCCGCACCCCGTAGAGGGCGTTGTGTAGCCTAGCTTTTGGGTAATATAAATAACCAACCAATAATGGTTGAGTCTCCGCTTCCGGTGGTTGGGGTGGCGTTGCAGGCGCAGCCGATCGTCCACGATGCCGTCGTCGTGGCCGTCGTCGTGGAAGGCGTCGAGATGGGCGGCGTCGAACAGGCGCAGCCGCTCGTCGCCAGCATGCAGCGGGCGCACGAGGCGCCCCCGACAGTCGCCCCAGACGGCCGGCCGGCCGGCGCGTGGTCGTCGGACATCTGTGACTGCTGCTCGCAGTGCATCCCGACCTGCTTTATGGCTTGCTGCTGCGAGCCCTGCGCGCTCGGTCAGCTCGCCGAGCGCCTAAAGAGAAACGGTTCGCCGCTCTGCGGCAACCCGTCATGCGGCTACTGGCGAATCATGCTCGCGCTGTTCTTCTGTTCCCTTGTCGTCTCCTGGCAACCCTTGGTACCTGTGTGGACTTGGTACCTGTACTTCGTCGTCAGTGTCGCCACTGGCATCTTGGTAAGGAAGAGCCTGCGTGTGTACTACTCCATCCCGGGGCCCGACTGCTGCCCCTCGGAATGCTGCCGGCCGTGCGACGACTTTTTCACCATGTGGTGCTGCGGGCCGTGCGCCGTCGCGCAGATGCTGCGCCACGTCTTCCCGTACGAGTCCGTCCGGCCGACTATCGATATCAAAGGCTCATTCTTCAGCTTCGGCATCGCTAATCTCGGCCCGGACACGGGGATGCCGTGAAATGCACGCTTCCGCATTTCCGGGGTGTTCAGAAGGCCTCGATCTTCTTGGGCAGTAGCTGGTGCTGCTGGTCGCCGTGACCCAACCGGCCTTGCCCTCCAAAGCCCCAGCTCCAGATAGCGCCGTCGGCGGTGATGGTGAGGCTGTGCTCGGAATAGCATAGATGCCTTGCGTGTAGAATTTTACAACGTGTACGTGTAGAACATATGCTTGTTGCTTGCCGTGGAGCCGGGGAGCCCCCACAGAGCACAGCGATCGATCCATGCGGCTCTCAGATAGCCGTGGCCGTGTCCTCGCTCCAAGTTCACATACATTAAAGTACTGCAAATGTACATACAAAAATACACGGCATGTCAACAAACTCAAACAGAAAGACAGGGACAGGACGAAAGAAACGTATTACACAAATGTGCATGCCGTGTGTGGCAGCTCTGGTACGAGTCACGACGCGCGGTCCTCCCCCATGCTAGATGTCCCCGCGCGCGGTCCTCGCCCACGCTAGATGTCCTCGCCGAACCATTCGCCGTGGAAATCTGCCGGCATGACGACGGGCGAGTAGGCCGTCGCCATCGTCCGCATCGTCGTCGCGTTGAGCACGAGCAGGTACGAGGCGCGCGCCTCGCCGTCGAGCATCACCGAGAGCACGACGCCGTCGTCCTCCGCCGTCGCCCCGGGGCGCGGCACAAACACTGGCTCGCTCGGATAGTGCGCTGTGCGGTACCACGAGACACACCGCGCGGCGGCCGGCTCGGGGGGGGCGGTGGAGGGAGGGCCAAAGTCGGCAGGCTCTGCGGCGGGGGGAGGGCCCAAGTCGACCTTGACGATTCCACTCACGTGTGTGGCCGCCGAGTCGGGCGAGCCGACGCTGTACACGAACCGGTAGGGCGCGCCGTGCCGCCTAATCTCGGGTCATCTCGGGTCATCTCGGGTACTCTCGGGGAACCGGTAGGGCGCGCCGTGCCGCCGGTCGTTGAAGCGGGGCATCTCGACATGCAGCTCCTCGCAGCCTCCGGGCTGGCGGCTGGCGGCGGCGGCGGGCAGAGGCCACTCGTCGTGCGGCACGGCCGCCTAGGGAGGCAGGGGGATATGCACACACAGGGGACGAGGAGCCGGGCTTGGGGTCGGAGGCGGCGGCGAGGGCGGCGGCGGCGAGGGAGGGAGGAGCTGGTGAGGGAGGTGGGCGCGGAGAGGGCGGCGGAGGCAAGGCCTGCGGGTCGGTCTTGATCTTGAACGGCCTCCACCTCGCCCACGCGACTGCGGGCTTGCGGGCACGCCAGTCGCCCCAGCGGCGCTGCCCCACGCGCCGCGCGGCGGCGGGGCGCGCCTCCTCCATGTCGAGCGTGTAGCGCCGGATCGTCGGCCGCAGCGCCTTGGGAAGAGCTCGCCCCCTCGTGACCTCTGGCGATCTCGGGTGATCTCTGGCGATCTCTGGCGATCTCGGGTGATCTCCGCAGCGCCTTGAGCAGTGCTCGCTCCCCCGCGTCGCGCATCACCTGGAGGTATAAGGTAAGGTACACTTCTCCACTCACACAACGCGGTGTGAAGCAAGGGCCAGGCAGCTGTCGGACGCGGCTCCACGTCGAAACGGCAGGAGCCCCACGGCATTCGTGCAAGGCCCGGTGCGCGTGGGTGAGCGGTGTGTGCGTGTGTCGCCTCGCGAGGAGAACGCGCGTCCGTCCGAGCAAGATATATACGAAGAGTCAACGGTCCGTTCTAGTACGGCCGCGCATCGCACCTCGAGGTTGCCGAAGCCGCGCGGGTTGGAGAGGAACGAGCCGTCCTGCGGCTGCGCAGCGTGGGTCAATGAGGCGCGTGATCTGAAGTCAGATTGCTCGATGAGGGTTGGAGAGGGGGGCGGGGAGGGTCATGGGAGGGAGGGAGGGAGGTTCGTCGGAGGGAGGGAGGGAGGGGGAGGGCGGGAGGGTCATGGGAAAGGGGGAGGGAGAGATGGAGGGTCATGGGAGGGAAGGCGAGCCGTCCTCGTACGCGATCAGGTCCATCGTCACCTAAGGTAAGGTAAGGTGAGGGTAAACTTCTCCACACACACGAGGTGGTGCGGGGGGGGGGGGTGACCCAGCGTCTCCACGTCTAGACGACTAGGAGCCCCACGGCATTAAAGTGTGTGTGCGTGTGTGTGTGTGTGCGTGTGTGTGCGTGTGTGTGTGTGTGTGTGTGTGTGTGTGTGTGTGTGTGTGTGTGTGTGTGTGTGTGTGTGTGTGTGTGTGTTGTGTGTTGTGTGTGTGTGACGGTCGCCCCCCTTGCCCCACCACCTTGCGGCCGCCGTCCGACTCCCACGCGTTGATGTGGTGGTTCATGTACATCGGGTCGGTGACGAAGGTCCGCACTGGCCCCGCCGTCGGGGAGGTCGACTCGAGGTCCATCACGTAGACCGTCGTCTCCTGCTCGCCGCGCCACCCCAGCGTCTCGACGCCGGCGAACGGCTCCATCAGGACGAAAAGCTTCGAGCCGATCAGGTGCCTGCGTGGTGAATACACGCCGACATGAGGGCGTGAAGACGGCATTGTGCAGCGTATTCCGAGCACCGCGTGAACACGAGGGCGGCGAATACAGCGAATACGGCGGAATACACGACTGAATACGGCGGAGTACGCGTGTCCTCTCGAGCGCTAGTTGGGAGACAAGAACACGTCTTCCGCTTCTAGGACCAGGTGCGGCTCGACACGGAGAGAGCAGACCACGAGGATGACGTACCGCTCGGTCACCTGGAAGGAGTGGATCATCGGGAGGCCGTGCTCGGACAGGCGGATACGCAGCTGGCCGAGGAAGCGGCGCCGCGCGGCCGCGCCGCCGCCCGCCGCCGGCGCCGCCTCCGGCAAGGGGTCGTCGCGGTAGACGGAGACCACCGTGGAGGAGAGCGAGAGCTTGTCTTGCCGCACCTCGACGCGGCCGACCCACCCGACTGTCGCGCTGCCGTTGACCACGCGCTGCTTGTGCGCGCCAGTCACGGTGTCGGCGGTGCGGCGCGGCGCCTCCATCTCCACCTTGAGATGGCCCGTGCTCGCCAGCGTCTCGAGGTCGAAGGTGTTGCTCGCCACGCTCGTGTCGGACGAGGCGTGCACTGCGCCGCCCGTGCTGCCGATGAAGATGTTGGTGTTGTCCGTCACTGGCTCCTCGAGGAGGGCGCGGACACGCTGGCAGGGGGTGTAGGTTGGCTCGACGGGCAGCATCGTCACGAGGGCTGGCTCGGTCCAGAGCGCCCACGGAGAGGAGGGCGGCGCCGCCAGCTGCGTGCGGTTGTAGAGGTGCGACTGCAGCATCCGCGACTGAAAGTGGACGCCGTCGCCGTCGACGCGGTACTTGGTCAGCTTGGCGAGCCCGTCTATCTGGTGCTGAAGCTGTTGCCGGCCGACCTCAAAGCTTCCCGGGCCGACTCGGACGAGCGATCCACGCAGCCACTTTGGGAGGGCGCCGTCCACCTTGAGGCGCATCGGCGTCACCACCTCGGTCGCGTCGCTCCGCCACCAGAGATCGTAGCCGGCTGCGTCGCCGCCCGTCGGTGGCTGCTGCGGCTGGGCCGGACGGGCGGCGAACCGAGGTTGGCCGCGCAGAGGGGGCCGCCACGCGCACGCGAGCAGAGCGAGGGGGGTGCACATTTCCTGGAACGGACGCCGTAGCAAAAAGAATTTTAGAGCCTGATCCCAGTGACGTGCGTAGCAAAAAGAATTTTATTGCAAGAATTTTTCGAGGCGAGGGGGAGCACAAATAGGACGCCCAGCCTTGCCCTCGTGCCGCCGAGTGCATATCCTATGCGAGAGAGATCCCCTGTGCCCTGTGCAAGGCGCGCGATACACTGTGCCCAGCCCTCTCCGCGCGGCGATGCGCCCTCCCCCCTCGCTTTTGCAAAATCCTGCAAAGGTGGGGACGTGTCTGTCGACCCAGCCCTAGCTTGGGATGTCCGTTTTATGTATTTATTTATTTATAGGAAATTTAAAACAAACTCTCTCTCACGACACTAGGCACGGGCCTGGCGCGCACTGGCACTAACACAGGTACACCACAGGAGCCGCCTAACAAAGCAACTCCTGCGACCGTGTGTGTGTGTGTGTGTGTGTGTGTGTGTGTGTGTGTGTGTGTGTGTGTGTGTGTGTGTGTGTGTGTGTGTGTGTGTGTGTGTGTGTGTGTGTGTGTGTGTGTGTGTGTGTGTGTGTGTGTGTGTGTGTGTGTGTGTGAGTACTCGACCGCCCTCGCCGCAGGCAAGGAAGCTCATTGACTATCTGCTCTGCGATGGCCGTGGACGCGAAGAACGACTGTGGGCTGAAGCCGCACTCGGCTCCGTCCTCCTCCCGATCCCCATCTGCGCGTGCGCTCGCCGCCCGCGCCGCCTCCGGGACCCGAGAAAAAAAAAATTGAAAAGAAAACAACTCTCTCACACAGCAGACAGGCTCGACACAGGTGCGGACTGGCGCGTGCTAGCACCAACACAGGCACACCACCGGAGCCGCCTAAGCGACTCTGGTAAGAAGCTAAGAACGGCAATGCACTTAATAGCTCCGTGCACAATGCCGCTCTCCCCGCACGCTAGCTCGTTCACCGTCTGCCATGCCAGGGGTGGAGAACGATAGACAGTCGCTGCATCTGCAGCCCGTGCCAGTGCTCAAAAAAGAAAAAAAGAAAATACTCGATTTACGCGAATTTGCAAACTCGCGGGGGTCCCTCCGAAACAACCAAGTATCGCAACGAGGAAGAGCATCCATGGCGAAACGGCCTCGCGTCCACCACCGCCTCAACATCACCATCAGGGCTGTGGCGCGGAGGTCCAACCCTGAATCAGCGAGCTGCCAGGCCGGCGTCGTGCACAAGACCAACCACGTCTGTTGTAACGCGACGTGCGGGCTGTGCGGCGGGCGCGGCTGTTCGACTGCTCCGGGAGGGCGGCTACAGTGCTGTATGCCCGCGATCCTGCGCAGCAGGCGGATCTGTCACGTGTGGTCAGACGTGGCATGCATACTGCATCGCCCCGCACAGGGCAACGAGGCTGTCAATAATCTTACCACCGCGCCGCTGGCGCTAGTCCATCCGAAGAACCCGGCAAGCAAGGCGCAGCTTGACACTCCGTGCGCCTCCGTGGTTACCTCCGACGCGCGGTACGTGAGACCTCTCTCGATTTTGCTGCGCTCCCTGCACGCTGCTAATGTGCCACACGCCGTGCTGGTTACGTCGGACCTCAAACACACTGGCGCCGACGTCTTCCGCAACCGCCATGAGGAAGGCGTGCGTCTGTCCGAGATCCGCACGCGTGATAGCAACTACGAGTACTTGGGATTTCAAAAGCTTCAGCAGCACCTGAACCAATCCTTCCTGTCACACCGCTGCTTTGTGATGCTGCACGACACGTGCGAAGTGTCGCCCGGCTTTGGCAACCTCACGATGCGCAGCTTCGGCGACAAGCACCACGTGCTGGTTGGTAATGGGTGGACGTCAAACATCATGGCCATAACCGCGCTCGGAGTGCCCCAGCTCAGAATAAGGAAGTACAAGACGAAAATGGCCGCTGTCTACGGGGAGTTCCGACGGAAGGTGCTGCAAGTGTTCGCCAAGGACCGCATCGGTCAGATCGCGACGCGGGAGGGAAAAGGACTGCGCGACGTATACGGGACCGGGCTGCCGCGGACGGTGTACTTTTACCCCGACTTGCATGTAGTCAAGTATGTCTATAAACCGCCCGTGGCTTGGCAGACAGCAGGCGAGAACGCACGCCTGCGTGCGCAAACCTACCGCCGGCGCGTCGGCTTGCGGATGCAGACGAACAAAACGGTCAAGGACGCGCACTGGCAGTGGCGCGAGGCATGTGGCGCCGGCTCGCGATGGCATGCAGGCCGCTGCGAAGGTCAATGGTTGGGTAGTAGGGCTAGAGGGTTGCTCCGTACATACACTTAGCCTCTGCAGCGAGCGAGCGCTCAACTTAGCCCCCGCACGGAGCCGGGCTCGGACTTAGACGCTGTATGGTCGGGGGCCATGAACTTAGACGACACAAGGCCAGCTCCGGGTAAAAGTCGGGTATACCTGCAAAAGAGAAAAGTCCAGGTGTAGCCCTGCTTTTGGTATTTTATAAAGTCCAGGTTTACCCGAAATATACCTGGACGCGTCCCGACCAACGTATGCCGCGCGCGCACGACGCCATATCGCCTTCTCCCAGGGCCAGTGCGCTACTTGCGGCGCGCAATTCCTGCTCAAGTACGCGCACCGTACCATGTGCTGCCGCTATGCGTGCCGTAAGGCGGCTGCGGCGAAGCGGCGGGCGCGGCATGCCGATGGCAGTGCGGACGATGCGGTTGCGATGTGTTCTGCTTCAAGATCGTGGCGGTGCTTGGCATGGATATGCACTTCTGCGATCCCAATCAGCTCATCGCAACGAAGCAGCGCAACAAGCTGGCTGCTGCCAACAAGGTCCTATGCTACCTTCACGCGCGGATCGTTCAAAGAGGACCAGCGCATACACCGGCTTCTCTGACATGCGTTTGTTTGAGCTTGAGGCTATTTGTGAGAAATGTTTGGCTAGAGATTGCGCTCAAGAAGCAGCAACGAGAATCGGAAGGGGAGGATGCTGAGGCGGCGATTGCTGAGGCATGAGGAGGATCGATCCGGATTTTAGTAGGCGCCCGCCGCAGGCGAAGAAAATTTGGGCGTCGGAGCGCCGTATCGATCACGGTGGGAGCCTCTTGGCCCCAGGCCGTGCCACGGCCGACTTAGCCGATGTAAGAGGCTCCCGCTGATCTTAGACCACGCAAGCACCCCAGCGTGCTTAAGCACACTTAGACTGATTGATTGATGGGAAGGCGAAACACAGTCCGACCAACGACTGGGACACCAACGCGGTATGGGTGGACGCTAGACAGGCGATGACGGTCACACAGGAGCGACACACAGAACCACAAGACAAGACACTCAGCCAAACTGACTGCCACACATCCTGAGCGAACTTCCCTAGTCACCCGCGGCCGGACTCCATCCGGCACGCGTCGCTGGGCGCTCAGAGCCGCGTCCCCTGCTCGCCACCCCGACGCCCAAGTGCGCCCGAGCGAACGACAGGCGGCACGCGAAGACTGGTTGCAATCCCGCCGACCGCGAGGCCGCGGGATGATGCGTGCGTGGTCTTGTAGTGGGTCTCGGAAGCTCTCCTCTCGGGCTAGGACCCGCTAGGCGTCGAGGCTCAGAACTTAGACTACTACCCATAACCCAACACCAGTGCAGTGCCAGTGGCAGCTGGCAGGGCAAGTGGCGGGGCGGGGTGGAGTGTGCCCTGCGTCTTTACCCTGGGATTTCTCTGCCCAGTCCGGGGGTGGCACATCCGGGTGTTGGAAGTAAAGATATATTACTTTCTATCACGGACTGCGGACTCGTCGACCGCGCCTTGGCGTGACCCGCTATTTCATATATAACAATGATCTGTGTGTGTGTATGAGTGCGAGTGTGTGTGAGTGTGTGTGTGTGTGGAGAAGCTTGTGTGTGTGTGTGTGTGTGCACGGCCCTCACGACTCGAGGCCTCCGTCCGTCGCCTCTCGTCTCATCGCCGTCTGGACAGCGGAGTGGCGAGGCGGCTGTTTGCAGGCGCCGCCTCTCGACTCGAGGCGTCCGTCCGTCGCCTCTCGTCTAGGTGACCCGCCGGACGGACGACCGGTCATGCCGCGCCTGCTTCCAGCCTAGTGCACATGCCCTGCAGCTGGTCCCTGGTCGGCACGTCGGTCTGCATCATCGCGCCCTTGAGCATCTGCACCGCGTCGGCCCTACGAGTGTCAGGAGTACGCGAGCGTCTTCGGGAGCTTGCGCTTTGTACAGTCCGAGTCTACGTGCTAGTATGAGCCCGTATTAAGCATCTGAACGTCGCGCAGGTCGCTCCCGCCGTCCGCCTGCTCCTGCGCGACAGCACCCTGCAGCGCCATGAAGCCCATCATCGCGCCCATCGGCCCCTCCGGGAAGCCCTCCTCCTTGAAGAAGCCGCCGAGAATCTTCGTGATCTCCGGCATCAGCTCCTGCGTGAGTTACGAGCACCATGAGCGTCAAGGTTCGCTCTTGAGCTGTGAGCTGTGAGGGTCCGCCCGCAGGCGTTTCGGAGTAGGTCACGCCTGCGCCCGCTCGTCCGCTTCGGTGGTGTCTGACTGGGCAGCGAGCGCGTTGAGCTCATCCTGCTTCGCGGCGAGCTCCTTGATGACCTTCGCGAGGGCGCACTTGGCCTCGGGTACCGTGTACTTGATGCCGGGCTGCATTTTGCGCGACGGAGACGCGCAGACCCCTCGGCCAAAGGAAAATTTAAACAAAACAACTCTCTCCGGATGCCTGGCGGTAATCTGCCTCGCGAGCCCACCGCTCGGCCTTGTAGTCATCTAGAAAGTTGGCCAGCGCGGGGGGCAACGAGATGTTGACGAGCAACGAGCGGGCCAAAGGTTTGGCCTCGGCCCGCGTCCGGCGCGGCGAGTACTCCATGCACTGCGCTCTTGCCGCAATCGCGCGGCGGGGAGAGAGAGATTTTTAGCAATACCAAACAACTCTAACACTCACACGTAATTTGGGGCCTGGAGCCCTGTTCACGCGCGCGCGAGACGAGCCCTCGCATGCAGGTTTGCGAGTGGCAGCGGCTCCGCGCCGCCGGCCGAGCCGCGGCGCTCCTCGACCTCACTGCGCCCGTCTATTTCCAGATGCCAATGCCCCCGCGCTGAGTTGCCACCTCAAGCGTTGAAAAGTTTACCCGCGCGTAAAATTCTTTTCAGAATGAGCAGCTGAAAATGAGTGAACCTGCACGGCTCACGAACTTGGTCGTGCGCGGCTACCACTTTTCTGGCCGGCAGCCTACGATTGTGTCGACCATCGCAGGCGCATGCACATCCTCATTTGCAGGCACGGTGTTCTCTACCGACTTTTGCGGAATGATGCGGGCTCTCTCAGGATCAGACAGCTTTAGCGAAGGCGATCCGGCCGCCTACAGCGATCTGGCACGCCGTCTTCTGGTCCCGCCAAGTCTCAAAAAAGAGGAGGCGCGCGCCGAGGCGGCGCTACAGTCGGTTGTGGCAACCATCGCGTCGACCAACCCTGACACGATCGACAGCTCTTTGATGCGGCGCTTTGACGATGCAAACTTGAAGTTCACGCTTGCAAAGCGCGCAGTCGACTCGATCGTTGCGAAGGGCTCGCGTGCACTTCGAGAGCCCTTCGGCACCGGGCGCCGCGTTGCAGTCGTCACGAACATCGTGGCCCGGCTTGGGAATATAGGGATATGGGGACACGGCGGACTATTCATCACTCTGGAATGAGAGAGAGAGAGAGAGCGAGGGAAGGAGAGAGAGAGAAGGAGAATAATAGGTGAAGCCTCTCGATGTAGGTCAGGCCACCGGTCCTCATGGGCGTCCTCGTGCCTCACCTCCTGCGACACCCGTACCCCCGCACCATCTCCGTCGCTTGGTTCCATAACCTCTGCCACAACCGGGAGCGGCCAGGACTCATAGACTCGGTCGAGAGACCCCAGATTGGCACTCATGCCTCTCTGGACAGGGTGGCCCGCCAGCACACACACACACACGGTGGCCCGCCACAAGGACCCCAGGAATTGCGACTCGCCGCTTTCCTCCCGCTGTGATTCTGTGTGAGCTCTGTGTCTTGTTTTGCCAACAATACACCTTACACACAGATCTATGGCCGGGGGCGCATGCTGTGAATCACAGGCCAGCGCACAGCGCCATAGGAGGTATTTTCTTCTCAATAACAAGGCTGTGAAGTGACACGCCATCATGAAATGCAGGAGGCCAAGAGGATGCCCTCGGAATCGTGCAGCGCGGCTGCAGCATCCTTCACGCCGTCGGCGCTGGCCGCGCTGCTCCGAGAGCATGCGCCGCTGCACGCGGGTGAATCGCACGTCACGGGTCCGAGAAATTCTTTGAGTAGCAACGAGCTCATCCGGTTGGCGGCAGCCGCGGATGAGCGAGGCGACCTCATCTCGGCGGCGGATCTTCACTTGGATTTACTCGAGCTCACCAGAAGCGACACGTACACTAAATCAGCCACCGAGCGATTGCAGAAATTGTATCCAATGGGCGATGCGTCGCGTGTATCGCGCAACCATTCGGACACGTTCCGAACTGCTGTGGAGCAGAGCGTGGCCGCGGGCAAGGCTGAGGTGCTCTCGGCTTCGCCACCCCTGTATCTCCTGCACGACGTGCTGAGTGCGACCGAGGTTGCGGATCTCCGTGGAGTCGTCGCGCGCCGGCGCGACTTGTGGGGCGCATCGCACCCGCTCGTGTGCTTCCAGCACGACGCGTTCACGGGACACCCGGGCCTCACTCACGCTTTCGACTGGATGCGTGGGCGTCCCGGCGCAGGCGGCCGCGGCTGCTTCGCGCAGGCCGCCTCGCGTGCCACCTACGCGCACGTGCCGTGGAGCGAGAGCCTCTTTGTGTACCGCGGGCAGGAGGCCCTCTTTGACGGCATCAGCCGGCGCGTTCAGGAGATGTCCGGCTTGCACGATACACACGCCTACAGCTGGCAGGCCCTGACTTACGAGGCCGGGCGCGACGGCGGTTACGCCGACCACACCGACTGCGAGCACGCGGCCGACTTGCTCGGGCGCGGCGAGCGCATGGCCACGCTGCTCGTGTACCTCACGGACGACTTCGACGGCGGCGAGACGGAGTTCCCCAAGCTGGGTTTGAAGGTCAAGCCGCCCGTGGGCTCGGCCCTGCTCTTTTACAACTTCGGGCCAGGCTGGGGCGGCCGCGCGTGCAGCGCGGAGGCGGCGCACCGCTCGAACCGCGTGACGCGCGGCAGCAAGGTCGTGCTGCAGAGGTGGCACTCGTACCAAGAGCAGCCGTTCCTCGCCGGCCGGCCCATTCTGTCGCAGCGTGGCCGGCGGCCGTTCCAGCCCGTCGTCTCGTGCGATTATGTGAGCGGCCTGCGCACAAACGTCTCGTGCCGGTGGTACAACTCGGACGTGCCGTGGACGACGGCCTAATACTGTTGAAGGATAGTAATAAGGCAGGGTGGTCGGAGGGCGCCCGGAGACACGGATATGTTCATAACCCAAAGCAAGCTTTTACGTGTCCACGGCCCCTCAACGCCGACGCGCGACGGAGAGATTGCCCCAACCGCCGCTCGGCCGTCCGAAAGAATTTTACAACGAAACCTCTCACGACACCGGGTACGGGACTGGCACTGCAAAGGCGACGGCTTAGAAGCCGTCGCCCAGACAGTTGCCTTCCGTCCTAAAAAAGAAATCGTGCGCGCGGCTGCAGCTTGAGGAACGCGACGAGCGGCTCAAGTGCAGCTTGAGGAACGCTCAAGTGCAGCTCGCGCGTGGGCAGCGGTTCGAACATTCGCTTGTCATGGCTGAACAGCTGGCGGCTAACGAAGTGGCCTCGGTCAAAGAGAAGCCTCCGCCGCCGCCGCCGCAGTCCTCCGCCGACGGCGCGACGAGAGCGTTTGGGGCCATGGCGCTCTTTACCGCCGCCAAGGCCGCCTACGACAAGGTTGACCCGCTCGACGCTGCTGCGCGGGAGGCGCTGCACCAGAAGTACGCGGCCAAGGCGGTGACGCTCGCGCGCAAGCAGGGCGGGGTCTACGTCAAGGCAGCGCAGCAGATCGCCTCACTCCAGGGAGGTTCGGGCGGCGGCGGCGTGCCACCCGCCTACACGACCGCTCTCGCAGAGCTGACGGACCGCGCGGCTCCACAAGACCTGCGCCTCTTCGAGGCGATGATTGCGGAGGAGCTGTGCGTGCCCGGCTGGACGGTCGACGCGCCCAGTGGCAGCGGCCTTGCTGCAGTGCGGTGCCCCGCCATCGCCGCCGCGTCGCTCTCTCAAGTCCACCGCGCGAGCGCGGAGGACGGCAGCGAGCTCGCGCTCAAGCTGCAGTTCCCCTGGCTGGCCGAGCAGGTGCCGACCGACTTTGCCGTCTTCAAGATGGTTGCCGGGCAGATGCAGCCGGGCGGGTTCGACGTCTCGTGGCTGGTCGACGACCTGCAGAAGCACGTCCTCTCGGAGCTCGACTTTCTGACGGAGGCGCGGCACGCGGGGGAAGCGGCCGCCGCTCTCGCGCCGCGGGGCGAGTCGGTCCTCGTCCCAGCGGTGCGAATCGCCACCCGCCGGCTGCTCGCGACGGAATGGGTCGAGGGCTTGCTCCGCGTCGACGACGCCGCCGGCCTGGCCGCCGCGGGGATCTGCCGCCGCGCCGCCGGCCGGCTGGTGGCGGACGTGCTGCTGGGAGAGATGCCGCTGCGGCACGGCTTGGTGCACGGCGACCCGCACTCTGGCAACGTCTACCTCCGCCGTCCCGCCGCCGCCTCCGGCATCCCCGAGCAGCTGGTCCTCCTCGACCACGGCCTGTACCACCACCCGCCCGCGCAGCTGCGGCTCGCCGTCTGCAGGCTGGTGCTCGCCTGCGCGCGGCCGTGGGTCTCGAGCGAGCGGGTGCGCGCCTGCGCCGAGCCGCTAGCAAACGAGCTCTGGCCGCTGCTGCCGCTGCTCCTCTCGCCCGCCTTTGCGCTCGGCACCGGCCTATCTCTCTCGGACTTGGGCGAGGCGGCGGTGGGTCGGATCCCGCCGTCGGTCGGGTGAGAGACGCCGAGATGCAGCCGAGATACAGCCGCGACACAGCAGAGGTACAGCTGAGGTGCAGCCGAGACACAGCTGAGGTGCAGCTGAGGTGCAGCTGAGACACAGCTGAGGTGCAGCCGAGGTGCAGCCGAGGTGCAGCCGAGACACGGCCGAGGTGCGGCCGAGGTACAGCCACAACATTGCGCCGCAATACAGCCTAGAAACAGCCGCCCGCCCCCGGTCTTGGTGGCGGCGCCATACTGTGAAACGGAAGCGCGAGACAAGGAAGCTGCGAGTAGGTACGAGGCGGTGTGGCGCGCGCTCGTCGCGATCCACGACGGCGAGATCTAGCCGAGATCTAGCCGAGATCTAGCCGAGATCTAGCCGAGATCTAGCCGAGATCTAGCCGAGATCTAGCCGAGATCTAGCCGAGATCTAGCCGAGATCTAGCCGAGATCTAGCCGAGATCTAGCCGAGATCTAGCCGAGATCTAGCCGAGATCTAGCCGAGATCTAGCCGAGATCTAGCCGAGATCTAGCCGAGATCTAGCCGAGATCTAGCCGAGATCTAGCCGAGATCTAGCCGAGATCTAGCCGAGATCTAGCCGAGATCTAGCCGAGATCTAGCGAGGGCGACGAGCAGAGCCTTTCTCGGCCTGAGGAAGCAGCAGGATCGACTCATCGGCATCCCGTCCGCTATTAACGACTGCTAGGCGACGGGCAGAGCCTGCTCGGCCTGCTCCACTCTCTGGGGTATGTGCGCGGCCTCCTCAACTCCTTGGGCACGCCCGAGCGCGAGCGCGTGGCCGCCCTCGCCACGCACGCCGCCGCCGCCCTCGCCGAGGCGGGCGAGACGGCGCCCTCCCGCCCCCTCGCCCTTCTTCGCGTGCATGCTCTCTTCTGGGTCCTCGCCGCTGCGCGATTCGCCGCCGCCGCCGCGTCGCTCGCCACCGCCCGCCTCGCCGTCGCGGTCGCCCTCGCCGCCGTCGCCGCCGCCGTCGCGGTCGCCGCCCACGCGTAGCCGCGACGAGCGCGTGTAGGAGGGGGCTTTGCGATGTAGGACTAGAACTAGCGCACACTTGCGGGCCAACTCAGCGCGCGAGATTGGGGTCAGAGGCAGCAGGTGTGTTAGGGCGCAGTAGAGTAGTCATTGCGCTGGCTGGCGAACGCGGTGCCGAGGCAAGTTTCATCAGGTCTGTGCACCGCAGCAGCTCCAATCAGACACTAAGCTAAGTCAAAAAAACCGAGCCGATCGAGGGGTCCCGCGTACGAGCGGTCGCACACTGAGACTCGGTACCCCCCCTGTGCACACAGTGTGCACACCTAAAAGGGGGTCACCCCCCCCCCCCCCCTAGCAGCAGAGCTCTGCCTGTGGGGGGTGCTGGCATCTCTGTGCAGACAGCTGTATTGCAATAAGAGCTCTAAGTAGCATGCGTTCCAAGTGGCGAGAATTTGTGGTCGCACCAAAATCAGTGGTCTCACCGGCGGGCCCTCCTACTGCCACGTGCCAGCCGGGCGGTGCGGGGCACGCAAGCCTCTCTTCTACGCCTCTCGTGCCTCGCGGCGCCTCTGCTTCAAGGAGGGAAGATACGGCTCTCGCAGCTGTGGCACAGCGGAGAGCACAGAGGGCGGTACAAGTCCATCAGACATGGTTCCCTATCTTTGCATGCTCGTTGTTCATGGTGATATCCGCGCGAGGTCATACGCCACAGGCCAGCAATCACTCGGCGATGAGACTACTGATTTGGCGCGACGCTCTGACACCGAGTGTTGCTCGACGCTGCGACACCGCCGAGTACCGCGTGCAGGGCTCAACCTCGCGGAGTACATCTCTCGCTATCATCCCGCTTCGCGGCGGTGCGTCGGGCTGCTTGATTTGTCGGAAGACACCCACATCTCTGCTGCTGGAGGAGAGCTTCCGATAATCATAGTGGGTTCGCGATGGACCAGCCAGGGGGGCGGCGGCGGCGAAGAGGCGGGAGCTGGGTCCAGTGTTCTCTGCTGCCAGCCCCTTGGAGTGTGAAAGGCTTCGTAGCCCTCCGGTCTACTACTCAAGATCCGCAGGACGGGAGGGAAAAAAAAGCAAGCGAGTGTTTTGTTGCTGGGGGGGTCGCCCCCCCCCTCCCCCCCAAGCAGCAGAGTTTTGTTGCTGGGGGGGTTAGACCCCCCCCCCCCCCCCTAGCAGCAGGGAAGTGAATGACTTCGCGTCTGCTTTGCCGATCCGTTTTTATATTGATACCAAAGGGAGGGCTACACGAGGCCCTCTACGCTGGGGTGCCGTAGCTGACACGATACAACCATCTCGACGACAACACAGTGTATCAGCGTCTCGTGTGTCGTGCGGCGTCCCTGTGGTTGTGGTTGTGAGAGGGGGGGGGTACGGCTTTAGGAATACACCGGCGCGTAGGGGGCCTCCTTTGTACCAGTCTGAGACGTTCGTCTCCATGCGAGCTAAACAGTCAGTACTAACCACGTGCATGTGTGCGTTCGATCCGAGGCCCTTGCACTTGCTGCCGGCCCCTCACTGTAATGAGGACGAAGTTGCTCAGATTCGTCGACCGCGGCGCGGCTCTAGGGGGCGGGCGGGGTTTGCCCCCCGAAACTGGCACCCGCCCAGGCTAGCCAGAGTTGCAGCTCAAGTGCTCATGCGGGTAGAGGACAGCATTTCCTTTTCGCAGCGCATCTTTTCCTTCAGCTCCTTTTCGTTCGTGGGGAGGATCGGCACCGACAGGCCCTTCTTGATCCCAGTAAGCAAGGAATGGTTGTGCGTCCGACGATGCCGTGGCGCAGCGTACTTGTATATGTTGTACGTGAGAGGCCACAGGAAGCGCGTCAACACCAGCACGCTCGTGATGACGGCAAACCTGGCAGGGGGCGCAAGGGGGTTTTGGGCATGGGGTGCAGGTAAGGGGCATAATTATGGCTGCGCGCACCACCCCTCAGTAGACAGAGTGCCAGAGCGCTGCTCTCGAGCCTTTTTCAGAAGCTCATTTATGAGAGTGATCGCAATCGCTGGGATCGCCTCACCCAACTCCTCGACGAGTAGTCCGATATTGGTCGTCCAATATTGGTCAATAGTGCTTTTGTCGACATCCAGTCCAAGAAGCCTCTTCCTCACCCAAGTCAAAAAGCACGGGAAGAGCACGAACAGCCGTAGATTCATTCCAAGCATCAAGCACAACAGGAGTGCAGGGGGCCAAACGACCAGCAGGATGAGAATTGCGAACGTGATTGAGACGATTCCAGCGAGCACCATTAAGAGGGCGAATGTCACCCAGCACATGAAGTGAAACACAGCAGACTCAGTATTTCTGCCCCAGTCGCCGTCGCCGTAGCTAAACTTGATCATCGATTGCGCCTCCGCCTCCCTCGCCCCCCTCGCCCGCCGCGCCTCCCTCGCCTCCCTCGCCTCCCTCGCCCGCCGCGGCCCCCTCACACGGCAGAGGAGCAATGTCGAGGAGCGCGGAGTGTAGCGCCTCCGCCGCCTCCTCCTCCTCCGCCGCCTCCGCCTCCTCCTCCGCCTCCTCCGCCGCCTCCGCCACCTAGCCAGCAAAGGCCTCGACCTTCTTCGGCAGCAGCTGCTGGTGCGTGTCGCCGTGACCCAACTGGCCCCATCCCCCGCCGCCCCAGCTCCAGACAGAGCCGCTGCCGGTGAAGGCGAGGCTGTGCTTGTTTGCAGCCGAGACGCTCACGGCGCGCTCGCCGCCCAGCGATATAGAGGGGAGGAGGGTCGGCGTGTTGAGCCGCGCCACGCCCTCGCCGTGGCCAAAAGGAGGCCTGCGACGTGCTCCTCCGAGCCGCACGACGAGAGCCGCCCCTCGCCGTCGATGAAGACGCTATGCTGACTGCCTGCCACAGCCCTCGCCGGCTGGTTGGACTCGCACAGCAACGCAGCGAGACACAGCCACCGCACGGGGCAGCCCTCGTCCTCAGGCTGCGCTGGCAGCTCGAAGCCGCGCTCTTGCGCCCACAAGCGGATGGCCTCCTTAGTGAGCGAGGCGTGGAAGAGCAGCGAGACGGCCGCGACGCGAGCGATGTCGACGGGGCTGTCGCAGCGGGAGAGGGCGCGCTCGAGGAGGTCCGTGGGGACGTCGAGGAGGCAGGCGGGCGGCGGCGTTTCCGGCGAGGGGGCGGCGGCGGCGGAGGCGGTGGCCCCGGGGGCGAGGCGGCGCGAGCGGCGGCGCGGCGGGGCAGACATCGCGAGGAAAAGAATTCATTAGGCCCCAGCATTCCTAAAAAGAATAGGATTCCTACATCGAAGGCTAAGCTCAAAAAGAATTTTTACCGCCCGCCCCCCCCCCCCCCCGGCCATGGCCTCGCTGACGCCGAGCGAGGTCCGCCTTCTTGAGTCTCTCGACGACGCCATCACGGCCGAGCTGGCCGCGTGCGACCCTGCGGGCAGGCTGTGCGGGCCAAATCGGAGCGCTGTCAAGCTCGAGCTACTGCAGAATTTCTTCGAGACGCTCGCATCAAACAACCGGCTGACGCTGACCGCCGCCGACCGCGGCCGCATCCGCGGCGCCGTGAGCGCGTCGCTGCCGGCCCGCTTTGTCCGGCGCGACCGCGTCGTCTGCAACGTTGGTGGTGCGCGGCCGTGGGAGGCTGGCGTGGTGCACGCTGTCCACGAGCCCGACCCGGACGACGGCTCAGGGCGGCGGAAGTTCGCCTATATCGTGCTGACGGACCCGCCAACGGCTCGGCTCGTGTCGGTGCCGCAGGACAGCAACGACCTGATCCGTGCCGAGGTCTGCTTTGGCCAGCGGGCGGGCGCCCTCTGGTTCACTCTCCTTAGATGCGCAAGACCAAGCGAGCGCTAGGGAACCGATATGCCTTACCACCTAGTTCGTGCAGTACTTGTGTACAATACTCGGGCCCCGCTAGCAAGTCATGCACAGGGAGGGAGGGAGAGCAAACGACTTGGAGCCTCACAGCTGAGCTCACCCAGAGAACTCTGTTCTCACCCAGAACTCCTTCTGATGCCTGAGACTACCCGAGATTACCCGAGACTACCCGAGACTACCCGAGACTACCCGAGATTACCCGAGATGACCCGAGATTACCCGAGACTACCCGAGATTACCCGAGACTACCCGAGATTACCCGAGACTACCCGAGACTGATAAGTAATGCCTCTCTCTCTCTTCGATGCCGGCCCACACATCACGCCCCCGGCTAGAGATATCCGTGGAAGCGGCGCGAGACTAGCTCTGCTCCGCCGCCGGCAGCCGTGGAGGGCGTCTGTTCACACCCGCGATGCTGTGAACAGGTTCACGCGCATGAGCCTGCCGCAGGCCGCGAGGCGACGGTGCGACGCAGCCCGCTGCTCAGAGAGCGAGCGCTGCTCAGAGAGCGAGTCGTGCCGGCCGGCGCGGGTGGCGGCGCCGCGGCGGGGTGCGGCGAGAGAGGCCACGTGCGGCGGCGGGCGCCGCTTCGGCGTCGGCGATCGTGTCTCGTGCGCCGTTGAGGACTCGTCTGGTCTGCTGTCTGACTGGGCGGCAGGCGCACGAGATTGCGCCGAGATCGCGCCTGAGATTGTGCCGAGATTGCGCCTGAGATTGCGCCGGGCTGCAGATGCGGAGATACCGCACGAGATTGTGCCGAGATTGCGTCGAGACTTTGCCGAGACCTCGCCGAGCGGTCGCCACCGTGAACAGCGTCTCTTCACGGCCGCCGGCCGTGAACAGGCACAGTCCGCGCCGTCGACGTTCTTCTGAAGGGGGCTGGCGGCATGGCGGGCGGCGTCGTGGCGTACGACGTTCGGCTGGACGGAGGAGGCGGGGACGGAGGCGAAGGCAGAAGTGGCGATGACGAGTGCAGGCAGTGCAGATGCGGGGACGGCGAGGGAGGTGGGCACGGAAGCGAAGGCGGAGATGGCGGTGGCGAGTGCAAACAGCGCGGCGGCGGCGTGGCGTACGACGTCCTGGACGAAGGTGGAGGCGGAGGCGGCGACTGCAGTGGCGACGGAAAGTGCGAACAGCGCGGCGGCGGCGGTGTGGCGGCGGCTCGCTGCAGCGGCGGCGGGTGCCGAGAGCGGTTGCACCGCGGCGTGCACTGGTTGTGAGCGGCGTCTCTTCACATGGCGGCGTGTGCGTAGGCGGCGCGTGCTCGTGCACCGCGACGTGCACTGGCTGGTGCGCGAGATGAGCCGAGATTACCCGAGGTTGGCCGAGATTCGTTGTGTGGCTGGTGCGGGAGATCCGCCGAGATCCGCCGAGCGTAGTTGCGAGCGGTGGCGGGTGCGGGCGATGTTGCGGCCGCCCCCGCCCCCGCCCGCCGCGGACGGCGTCTCGCCACCGGAGTGTGCGCTGTCGGGTCGGTGCGGGAGGTGAGGTACGGCCTGATCTGACGTCGCCTTGCCTCAGGTGCGGGAGCTGGCGCTGCAGCCGGCCGGGCCGCGCATGGCAAAGGACGGGTCTCGCCGCGCTGTCGGGGGGTGCGTCCGTGCGCGGGTTCGGTAATCAACTACTCTCGGCTGACGAACCCCAGGTCGCGTGCTGTCTCGCGGATCGCGAAGAGGGCGGCCGCCGGCGGCACTGCCGAGGCAGTCAGTCTCGGCTCACCTCGGCTAGCATGTCGGCTCCTCTCGGCCCTCCCCGGCTAGGCGATCGGCTAGCACATCGACTAGCACATCGACTAGCACATCGGCGACTTTGGACTCTCCTCTTCCCCGCTCTCCTCGGCTCTCCTCGGCCCTCCTCGGCTCAACAATCCTCGGCGATGCGGCATTCTCCTCACCTCGGCCAACCTCGGCCAACCTCGGCTCCCCGGCTGACCTCGGCTGACCTCGGCTGACCTCGGCTGACCTCGGCTCCTGTCGGCTCCCCGCGGTTCCTCTCGGCTCATCTCGGCTCCTCGGCTCATCTCGGCTCACTCCGTGGCTGATCTCGGCCGATCTCGGCTCATCAACCATCGGCCGAGTGTCTCGCCCTTTTCTCTCTCCAGGTCGTCGACCACGCGACGCGCCGCGTGCGCCAGAGGCCGGAGGAGGAGGGGGGGGAGCAGGAGGGGGAGGAGGAGGAAGGGCGGGAGGGGGCGGCTGTCCCAGCCGCGTCGGCGGCGGCTGCAGCTCTGCTCGGAGACAGGTTCAGGTTCGACGGCGCCGGCGCCGGCGCCGGTATTGGGAGAGAAGGAGGGATGCGGGTGTGTGTGCCAGCGAGGCCACACGAGAAAAGATGAGAGGTGTAGCGGCCTCGGAGATAACAAACTTCTTGTCTGCAATTTCCCGGGACAGAAAAAGAATAAACAGCGCAACCAGCGCAGCAGACATGCCAAACAAGTGGGTGGGGGATAGGTTCTTGCCTCGACCAGTTGTGTACGAAGGGCCGGCCCGATTCGGGAGACCCGTCGAGGGCAACGCCTACGCCGACGCCGCGGCGACGGCATACATGGGGGCCAGCGAGATTGAGGATGCCACCGCCGTCATCCGTGAAGCAGTAAGGACACGCCCGTGCCTGTACACGGACCGCCGGAGGACGGCAGACAGAGAGGGGGGGCGGGAGGTACTGGACCGGAGGACCTATTACGCCACACGCGGCCACACGAACGAGTGGGTGCGAGGACGGCTCGGCGAGGGACTCACGGCGGGATCGCACACGGCAGAGGTGACGGGGCCGCTGTGGAGCGATGTGGTCAGGGGAACGACGAGACACAAATGGGACAAGCGTCAGCGGATCAAGGATCAACACGGCGAGCGCGAGATTGAATTCGCCGATGTGGATGATCATAACGTGGTGACAAAGACCGTCATGGGAGAGCGCGGGTGCGTCGGCAGGCGGGGGTGCCACACGGAACGCACCACGAGAGGATCATGCGGGGAGAGGCGGGGAGAGAGACCCCGGGCGCCGCCACAAGGAGCGAACTCAGGGGCTGCCTCGTCTGTAAGGCCGCGAGGGACGCGGCGAGGAGGGCAGCGCTAAAGGGACCCGCGGTGTCCGATCGTGCGGAAAGCCGCGCAGCATTGGACCGAGGAAGATGAGAACCCGCCTAGAGCGACAATGGCGCACGTGCTTAGCGGCGCCTGCCTGGGGAATAGGGAGCAGGCCAGATGGTTCCTCAGAGTAGCACGAGCGCAGACGGGGACGGCGATCAACAAGGTAGCACAGGCGGCACCCGACTCCAAGGATACACTGAAGACGCTGAGGATAGCGCATGTCGCTGCGCTGAAGGGCTCACGCTATAGGGTGCTGGATGAGGACGGGTACGATGCGCTAGCCCCCGCAGTCGGGGGGGTGTTGCCGGCGCTGGTAGATGATCTCTCGGAGAAGAGCCGGAGGGACCTTGGCGGGCGGTGGGATCGGGGCGTGCAGTCGGCCCGCTCGCCAGTGGCCGAGTCAGTCTGGCTGGCGAGAAGCGCCAGTGCCTTCCCTTCAATCTGGGCGAGGCCCAGCAGTGCGCAGTACTATCGCTGCGCCAGAGGCCATGGCCGTTGCGAGCGAAAAAAAATGATAGCGGGTAATTGGATTTTTTTGTGAGCGCCTTCGTTGTTAATAGTACAAACCCAATGGTCCCTTGCGAGCGGTCCTCCGTCGCAGTCGCACATTTTTTTGTTCTCTCCGCCGGCATTTGCTGATCGCCGGCATATATGCTCGTCCTCGCTTTTCTCGCGACGCCCTCAGCCGCCACTCGCCCGCCTACGTGGGACGGGGAGGCACTCATCGTCACGCACAACCGCACCGACTTCTGCGTCAAGCGCCCGACCGACGCGCCGGCGCTCGCCCTCGCGGCGTCCGCCTCGTGCGAACCCAACAAGGCCGCGGAGCTCCTGCTCCGCGAGGACGACCTCACCTGGGAGGGCGCGGCGCTGTTCGGTGCCTGGCCGGACGCCACCTTCCATCAAAACTTCTCCTTTCCCACCAAGTTCTCCAAGCCCACCGGCGCCGCCTCATGCACCGCCGGCCCGACGACCCTCAAGCACATCGGCGCCGCGGCCGACGCCGAGTTCACCTCCTTTGACGAGCCTTCCCGCGCAACCAAGATCAGCGGCCCCTCACCCGAGGAGAGCTTCACAATCGCGGCCCATTCAGAGATCGAGGAGCTGCTCGTTCTTCACCCTTGTGCGGCCGTACTGGCGCTGCTCCTCGCGGCGTGCAGTGGGCTGCTGCTGCGTGGGCAGCAGGTGAGGAAGAAGAGGGTGGATGGATGCAGCCACGCAGCGATCTCCGTACCCTTGCTCTCCAGCGCGCGTGCTCTCCGAGTTGGCATTGTGCTCATCTTCCTGCAGGACGTATGCGGCACACCAGCGGCACCGCCCCAGACCGTCAACGTCAGCAGCCCGTGCTCGCTCACCGACGGCGGCTCGTGCGCCGCTTCGCCAAACTACCCGAACAGCTACGGCAGCAACGAGAAGTGCACCATTAGCGGCGTGCCGCCGGTCGAGCTGGAGATGGTCGCCTTTGATGTGGAGGGCAACAATTGCCGCTACGACTATCTTACCGTCAACGGCGTAAAGTACTGCGGCAAGTCGGGGCCGGATGGCGCGGTGGCGGAGGGCGGCGTCATCGAGTGGGAATCGGATGGCATCCACGTCCGTTCGGGCTGGAAGGCGCGCCCCTGGTCCCTCTCGCTCCCCTTCTTTCTCCTCTCTGATGCCTATCCTCCCTCTGCCGTCAGATCTGCTGGGCGACCCGGCCGCCTTCACCGCCGCCACCGCCACCACCGTCATCACCGCCATCACCGCCATCACCGCCTCTCGCTCCGCCGCTGTCACCGCTGCCGCCGCTGTCACCGCCTGCTCCGCCGGTCTTCCCCGGCTTCCATGTCGCCGCGGCAACCGAGAACGATCTCCGCTCCCTGATCGAGGGGGCTGTTTCCAACATCTCAATTTTCCTGCCGCCCAGTGCGCACTTCGAGCTGGGCAGCCAGATCAGCTGCGAATCCAACATCAAGGTGACGGTCGCGAGCAGCGGCGAGGGCGCGACGCTCGACGGCCAGGGAGAGACCGGGCTCTTTTCCCTCACGGGCCACTGCAGCCTCACCCTGCGGGGGCTGACCCTCGTCAACGGGAGGACGGCGGGCCACGGCAGCGTTGTGTACGCGTGGGGCGCAGGCGACGTCGAGATCATCGAGTCGACCGTGCGGGACTGCTCGGCTGACGAGGTGCGCCGCGTAGAGCTAGCCGCACCCCCCTGCAGCGCCGCACAAAGCGGGGCCGGCGAGAGCGGGCCACGGCTGCCTCACCCTGCTTCTCTCCTCGCAACCGCAGGCCGGGGGCGGCGTCGTCTACGCGAAGAACAGCGGTGCGGTCTCGCTAATCGACTCGACGGTCAGAGACTGCTCTGCTTTTGTGCGCCGCGTAGAGCTAGCCGCACCCCTGCAGCACAGCACGCCGGCAGCGGGGCGAGTGATGGAGAGGGCCACGGCTGCCTCACCTTGCTCTCTCCTTACAACCGCAGTACGGCGGCGTCGTCTACGCGTATCGGAACAGCGGTGCGGTCTCGATAACCAGCTCGACCGTGTCGGGCTGCTCTGCTAATGTGCGCCGCGTAGAGCTAGCCGCACCCCTGCAGCGCCGCACGGCAGCTGGGCGAGAGGTAGAGAGGGGCCACGGCTGCCTCACCCCGCTCTCTCCTCGCAACCGCAGAACGGCGGCGTCGTCTACGCGTATAACAGCGGTGCGGTCTCGATAAGTGGCTCCACCGTGACTGGCTGCTATGCTTACTTCGTGCGCCGCGTAGAGCTAGCCGCCCTCCCTGCAGCGCCGCACGGCAGCGGGGTGAGAAGTAGAGAGGGCCACGGCTGCCTCACCCCGCTCTCTCCTCGTAACCGCAGGACGGCGGCGTTGTCTGGGCATTTCTTATCAGTGCGGTCTCGATAACCAGCTCGAACGTGTCGGGCTGCTCTGCTGGCAATGTGCGCCGCGTAGAGCTAGCAGCCTGCAGCGCCGCACGACAGCGTGGCGAGAGATGGACAGAGCGACGGCTGCCTCACCGCGCGCTCTCCTCGCAACCGCAGCACGGCGGCGTCGTCTACGCGTATCGGAACAGCGGTGCGGTCTCGATACTGGACTCCACCGTGAGCGGCTGCTCGGCTGGCCAGGTGCGCCGCATAGAGCTAGTGGCCGCCCTGCAGCACAGCACGGCAGCGGGGCGAGAGATGGAGAGAGCGGCTGCCTCACCCCGCTCTCCTCGCACCCGCAGTGGGGCGGCGTCGTCTACGCGGATAAGAGCGAGTCCCTCTCCATCGCGGGTGTCGACTTCATCAACAACGGAGCGGCTAGGTCAGGCTCGGTGCTGTACCTGTCAGTCCTCACTCAACGCTCTTCCATCAGCGACGCCTCCTTCACCGGCAACGACGGTGTCACGATCCAGACCGACTCGCCGATAGACTGGGACTGCCGCTTGGGCAGCTGGATGCCGACCGAGGGCGCCTTGAAGGGCGACGTCAACGCTCCCGAGTGCTACCTTTGCCCCGCTGGCTACTTTGGGAACACGAGCGGCCTCACCACTTCCTCTTGCAGCGGCCAGTGCACCAGGGGCCACTATTGCGAAAAGGGTACCGCCGACCCTCAGCCCTGCCCTCCCGGTCGACACTCGCCAGTCATCGGGGCGCCCAGCCAGGAATTTTGCCTCCGTTGCGCCCCCGGCCAGCACCAGCCCCTCTCAGCCCAAGCGCAATGCCTCATCTGCCCCGCCGGCTCCTTCTCTCCCGACGTCGGCCTCTCCGCCTGCGACCCTTGCCCGCGCGGAGGCTACTGCGAGGAGGCGGGCGCCGCCACACGCATGGTCTGGGAGCCCTGTCCCGCGGGCAGCTTCAACCCGGCCAACGGCTCCAGCTCGAGCGCCGCGTGCGAGCTCTGTCCCGCCGGCACCGCGAGCGCAACACAGGGTGCGGAAAGCAGCGACACGTGCGCGCCGTGCGCTCCGGGTAGCATCGCCCCCTCGGCCAACATGTCCGCGTGCAAGCCGTGCCCCAAAGGCAATTACGCAGCCTCCACCACCGCGTGTGAGGAGTGCGAGGCGGGCAGCTACGCGGCGAGCGGGGGCCTCTCGCAGTGCACTCTCTGCCCCCACCCCCTCAGCTCCAAGAGCGGCGACGTCACCTGCTCCATCTGCAAGGAGGGCTTCTACTTGAAGGACTCGAGCGCCGATCCAGACGACATCTTTGAGAACCCGACCGAGCACTGCAGGCCGTGCCCGCCCAACGCCAACTGCAGCGCCGGCACCGCTCTCGCGTCCCTCGGCGTGGGCGCCGGCTACTGGCGCGCCTCCAACGCCACCTCGGAGCTCCACCGCTGTGACTCAGAGACATGTGCTGGTGGCTCCGGCCAGCCCTCCCACGGCCGCCGCCTCACCGACGGAGATGACGACCCCTACTGCACCGCCGGCCACACCGGCCCGCTCTGCGAGGTCTGCGTCGCGGACTCGGACTACTTCAGCTCAGCCGAGGGGCACTGCGTCGCCTGCCCCTCGACGGCTCGCTCCGCCGGCGTTCTTGCCATCTTTGCCATCGTCATCGCAGCGCTCGCTGCCAGCTACGCTCGGCTCCGCCACCTCCCCTTCTCCCGCCGCCTCCGGAGGCGGGCCACCCGCATCGAGTCCGCGGTCGGCCTGCAGCCCAAGTTCAAGGTCTTCGTCAGCTTCTACCAGGTGAGCAGCGCCCTCGGCCTCGTCTACGGCGTCCGCCTCCACGGGCGCTTTACGCGCTGGCTCGACGTGCTCAAGCTGTTCAGCCTGGACCTGTTTGACGTTGCCATCCCCGGCCCCTGCATCGGAGCCATGAGCACGCGGCTGCTCGTCGCGGGCACCTGGCCGTACCTCGCCGTCGCCTTCGTGTCGCTCGCCATTGTGGCGGTGGCGGCGGTCCTCAATGTCAAGCAGAAGCAGGCTTTCGACCGCCAGCTGCTCGGCCGCCTCCTTTACTGGGCGATCTTCATCTTCTACCTCGCGCTGCCCTCCGTCTCGCGCTCCATCTTCAGTGCGAGGCTGTGCGAGTCCTTTCGCTACGACGACGCGACAGGCCAGCGCATCAGCTACCTGCTTGCCGACCTGGCGCTCACGTGCGATGCCGGCCCGACGTGGGAAGACGAGACTGTGAGGGGACTCGCGCCGTACTTTTGGGCCTACTTCGCTCTCTGGCCCGTCCTCGTGCCGCTCGGCTTCCTGGCGCTGCTGCTCCGCGTCCGCAAGCCCGTGGCTGCGCAGCGCGCAACGCCGCTCTCTCGTGCGACGAGCTTCCTCTGGCGGGACTACTCTGCCCGCTTCCTCTTCTGGGAGGTGTTCGACCTGTTCCGCAAGATCTTCCTCACCTCGATGGTGCTCTTCATCGACCACGAGTACGGCGCGAGGAAGTTGCTGCGCACCGTGGTCGCCGCCATCGTCTCGGCCATGTTTCTCACCATTCTCGCGCTCGCCCGCCCCTACCGGCGCTTCGACGACCTCTGCCTCGCGTGCATCGCCAACTTGCTGCTCACGTGCTGCTTCGCGTCGGGGGTGGTCATCCAGGTCCGCGATGGCAATTCCTCGCGCTCCCTCGCGCTCCCCCACGCTCCCTCTTGACTTCCGCAACCTCACACCACCCGCCCCCCGCCACCGCAGCTCTGCGACAGCACCGTGCACGAAGACATGTGCTACGAACTCGTTGGCTACAAGACCTCGCGCGGCGCCACCACCTTTGCCGTCGCCCTCACCGCAGTCATGCTCGCCGTCTCGCTAGCCGTCATCCTCATATCGGCGGTCAGCGCCGCGAGGGTGAAGACCATGCGGCTCGTCTCGTCGAAGCGCGAGCCGATGCGCGACGGCATCACCCTCGCCGACGGCCAGGAGTGGCACCTCTTCCTCAGCCATGTCTGGAGCACGGGCCAGGTTTGCCGCCTCTTGCCCCACCGCTTTGCGTGTGTGGTGAAGGCACCTCACCTGCCTTTCCTTGTGTGTAGGACGCCGTCGCCGTCATCAAGAACGAGCTTCCAGCAGCTCCTGCCCGGCTGCGAGATCTTCCTCGACATCGACGACCTCAAAAACATCGGAGAGCTGGAGGCGTACATTCGTCGCTCGCAGGTGGTGCTCTGCTTCCTGTCGCGGGGCTACCTGCGCTCGACGAACTGCCTGCGAGAGGTCCGCGCCGCGCTGGAGATGGGCAAGCCGCTCGTGCTCGTCCACGAGGCAGACCCGGACAAGGGCGGAGGCACGCTCGCCGAGCTGCGATCCGAGTGCCCCGAGGAGCTGCAGGCCGCCATCTTTGACGCCGGCTGGCCGATGGCGGTGTGGCATCGGATCGAGGCCTTCCAGCACGTCTCGCTCAAGGTCATCGCCGAGGCGCTACTGCTGAAGACGCCAAAGTACGCGGGCGAGGACGAGCTGCCCCTGTGCATCCCGGGCGAGATCCGAGCCGACGGCCTCGCCTTCCCCAAGCCGGTGATTCTCTGGGCCTCGACGTTGAACGCCGGGGCGCGAGAGCTCGCCAATTCGGTCGCGGCGGCCGTGGCTGGCGGCATCTCGATCACCGACGCAGCGCCCTCGCGCCTATCCGCGCTGCCTCGCTCCTCGCGCTCCTCGCGCCTCTCCTCGCTCCTCCCTTCGCTATCTCGACGCGCGAGAAGAGAAGGCGGCGGCGAGGCGACGCACATGCTGCTCTACCTGAACAGGTTGACGTGGGCCGGCGATGGCGCCGAGGCGCTCGCAGAGCAGGTGCGCGCCGCGCGCCGCGCCAAGCTGCCGATCGTAATGGCGCACGAGAATGACGCCGTCCGCAACGGCTGCATCTTTGGGCACTTTTTCGAGGTAACGCCGCGCGACCTTATTGCCAATGGGCTGTACCACGACCTCGCCATCGGCTGCCACGCGGGCCCGCACCGACAGGTGTCGCTCGCCCTGCTCGCAAAGGCGCTCGGCGCGACCAAGCAGACAGCCCAGTCGCGCGTGCATCGCGTCACCGCCCTCGCTCTAACGATCCGCGGCTCCTTGACAAAGACGAAGCCGTCGAATGGCGACGACCTTGTGGAAGCGTCAGCGACGCAGGCCCGCCAGATCGTCTGAGCGGATACATACCCCACTGTAAGTGCGCCAGCCCCGACTCCCGTGCTTGTGCCGCGAGTTTTTTGCATTCTAAATTCTTTTTTGTCAATCAAGCTCCAAACTCCATGGATGGATGGAGATAGATGGCGCCACCGCCAGTGCGCAGTCAGTGGCTCAACCTACCTTCCTACGTCAGTACGCGTTGGCGAGGTGGCCCGCGACGTCATTTGTGTTGCAAAATTCTTTTGCAACGTTAGCAGGAAAATCGAATCAGATGCCATTCCCTGCCGATGCAGATTGCCCATCCGCGTTGCGTTTTCGCGGTTCGCACTAACTGTGTTACCTGTGTTAGTGCCAGTGCGCGCCAGTCCCGTGCCCAGTGTTGTGCGAGGGTGCGTGTGCGAGATTCTTTTTTCACATGGACCACCAAGAACTGGCACGGGCTGCAGATGCAGCGCTTGTCTGTCGTCCTCCACACCGCCGTGGCGTGGCAGACGGTGAACGAGCTAGCGTGCGGGGAGAGCGGCATTGTGCATGGTGCGGAGTGCATTGCCGTTCTTAACGGAGTCGCTTAGGCGGCTCCGGTGGTGAGCCTGTGTGTGTGCCAGTCCGCGCCAGTCTGCGCCCTTGTCGTGCCAGTGTGCTGTGAGAGAGGCTTGAATCTGAAGAATTCTTTTTGGAATGCCTCCCGCCCGCGCAGCGCACGTCGCAGCGCGTGTTCACAGCCACGACGTCGTCCTCCGAATTTAACTCCACGCCCTACACACTGATGCCGACCACAACGGTTGTGCGAGGTGGCAGCAGCAGAAGCGCGGGCGTCGGTGTTGGCGTCGGCAGCAGCGGCGGCAGCGGAAGCAGCGGAAGCAGTGGAAGCAGCAATTTAGACCCTGCGCTCTTCCGCCAAGTGCTCGTCGCCGCGGCGGGCAATTTCCTCGAGTGGTACGATTTTGCAGTGTATGGAATATTCGCGTCCGACATTGGCAACGCGTTCTTCCCACCCGAGGACAGCCCGACGACCGCGCTCATCAAGACCTATTCAATCTTCGCGGGCGCCTTCTTCATCCGGCCGCTCGGCGGCATCTTCTTCGGGCACATTGGCGACACGCTCGGGCGCGAGGTCGCGCTGCTCTTCACCATCATGCTCATGGCGACGCCGACGCTCGTCATCGGCTTGCTGCCCACGTACACCGAGATCGGCATCGCGTCGCCGCTGCTCCTCGCGCTCATGCGGATGCTGCAGGGCCTCGCTGCGGGCGGCGAGCTGCCGGGCGCACTCGTCTACGCGGTCGAGTCGGCGGGCCCGCGCCATCGCGCGATGATGGGCGCCCTTTGCCAAGCGACTGGCGTCGGCTCCCTGCTCGCGAGCCTCGTTGCGGCCATCCTTCACTGGATACTCGGCGACACGGCCGTGCGCGAATGGGGCTGGCGCGTGCCGTTTGTCTTGGGCGCGGGGATTGCGGTCGTGGCCTGCTTCCTCAGGCGGAACTTCAAGCCGACGGCGCCGTTTCTCGAAGCCAAGGCGGCCGCCGCGGCGAGCACGCCACGCCGCGTTGGCTGTTGCGCGTGGCTCGCGTCGCTGCCGCTCGCAAAGACGATGCGCAGCTCCTGGCGCTCGGTGCTGCGCATCGTCTGCGCATCGCCGCTCGGCATGGTCGGCTTCTACGGCTTCTTTGTCTTCATTCCATCATGGCTGCGGCACACGCGCCTCTTCGACGCGGCCTTCGCTCTCAACGTGGCGGTGATGCTGCTCTGGGCGTGTGTCGTCGTCGGAGGCGGCATGCTCGCAGACAGGACGCCGCCAACACGCTGCTGCACGCGTTGCAGCGGGAGCGGCCGGCCGTGCTTGGCGCTCCACGGCATCCCTCTCGTCTCCGTGCTTGGCGCTCTCGCGGTGGCCGTCATCGCGCCCTTCCTCTTCATTGCGCTCAATGCCGAGTGCCAGAGCGTAGACAGCGCAGTGACGTTGGCGGCGAACAACCTGACGGGAATCAACATCAGCAGCAGCAGCATCAGCAGCAGCAACAACAGCAGCGGCGGCGGCGGCAGCAGCGGCATCAGCCGCAGCCTTGCCGTCCTCGGAAGCAGCCGTAGCAATCTCAGCAACAGTGGCAACAGCAGCAGCGGCGGCGGCGGCGGCGGTGGCGCCGGCGTTAGCGGCGGCGAGGATGAGGAGCTCCTCTGCGTTGGGTACTACCCGCCTGAAGTCTTCATCCCGATCCTCTGCCTCGGCGTCATTGCCCACGGCTGCCACGTCGGCCCACTGCAAGCGTGGTTTGTGCTCTCGCTCAAGCAGACGGGATCGCGCTACTCCTCTCTCGGCGTCGCGTACAACGTGGGCGCGGCCCTCCTCGGCGGCACGACGCCGCTGATCAACACAGCGCTCACCGCGACGTCTGTCGGCGCCGCCGGCGCGGGGTACTACCTCGCCGCAGCTGCGCTCATCTCCGCGCTCGCCCTCGTCCTCTCGGAACGATGCGCGCCAATCCTAAGCGACGGTGGCAGCTCGAGCGGCGGCGACGCGCAGCTGCTGCGAATGCGGCGCGCGGCGGTGGAGGCCGCACTCTCTGACACCACCGACGACTGGTCGGCGGGCCGCGACTCGGGCGGCGGCGCTCCTGCCTCGCAGCTCGGCGGCGGCGGCGGCGCCCCGCGATCACCAGCGCCGGTGACGAGGGGCGTCGAGGTGGTGGACGCCTTCCCGGACCCGAGCGCAATCAGTGCACACACGTTCTCTGACGTTTTGACTTGAGCGGTCTCCGAGGTCAAAGAAAGAAAGAAAACAGAAATCCCAAGGGAGGGATGGGAAGACATTCATCTTAGGTTTATTGTTGGCTTGTTTTGTGAAATTCTTTTTCGGAGGTAAAATTCCTGCGTGTTAGAGAAGACTCGCGAACGAGAGGTGGTGAAAGTCAAACTGCCCCTTGCTCCCTCTACTCTGCCAGTGTAGGCACCGCTGGATTCGGTACTTCAGCTTGGTATAGTATCATCGTATCCTTCTCGAGGGGGTATCAAGGTATGCTCTAGGCCTCTGTGTGGGGACCCATCTCGGCTGGGTATCAAGGTATCATCGGCGGCCGCGCAGCGAAGCGACAATTCACACCTCGCACCGAGAGGACCGAGCCCTCCCGCATGGTCCGCCCCGGTATCATTCAAACTCTTTGCGCTTCCGCCGTACCCGCGCGCCATTAGCGCCCTCCTCGCCCAGCGCATTGCTTAGTGGTGCGCTGGCCTCCCTCCTGCGCGACGCTCATTCGAGCGCGTTGTCTGTCTTGGCGCGCGCGCAGCGCGCGAAGAGGTGTGTGTGAAGAGGGGGGTCGTGTCCGGTGTGAAGGGTAACCCACCAGGGTATCAGCCTATCCTCTAGGGGCCCAATGCGGGTCCTCTCAAGAGGGTATCAGGTATAGCCCTGGGGTATGATCTGGGAGGGATGATACTAAGACAATATACTAAGACAAGGCTGAAGTCGAATCCTGTGAGCCCGCGGGGTGCAAGCGCCATTTTGATCGAAATGGCCGAGCTGGTTGTCACGGACCTGTGCCCTAAGATGAAGATCTACTCGGTGGCAAACGTGTTGTCCGCGGACGAGGCGCAGCAGCTCATCGAGGCCGGCGAGGCGCGCGGGTTCAAGGACTCGTCTCCCAGCGGGGGTGGTCACGGGCGGACGGGGCGCGAGGACGCGCGGACCTCCCAGTTTTCCGTTCTCGTCGACCAGGACAAGTTGGCCCAGCTGCTGTGGGACAGGCTCAAGCCCAGCGTGCCGCCGGACTGCACCCACCTGTCCGCGAGCGGCTACTTACCGCACGAGCAGAATCGCCGCTCTTGGGCTCCCGTGGGCGTCAACCCGCGGCTTCGGCTGTACAAGTGTAAGCGCGCGCGGATCCGAACCCCCATCCTGCATGCCCGCCGCGGTCTCGCCCGTCGATGCTGTTGGAACTGACTGACCCACGCGCCTCCCGGTCCTGCATGCGCATGCACCCCTAGCACCCCCGCTAACTAACGCATGTACCCCGCGCTGCCCGACAGACGATCGCGGACAGTGCTTCCCAGAGCACATTGATTACAAGATGCGCCGCGAGGTGTGGCGCGGCGGCGCCAAGCACGAGCAGATGACGTTCTTGAGCAAGAAGGGCAAGGCGCAGGCCAAGGGCAGGGAGCGGGCGAGGCATGCGGCTTGGCGGGAGGCAGTCCGCTTCGTGGCGGTGAGCCAGGATGGCGCCGGCGCCTTCCTCAACGCCATCCCAATGCGGGATGACATGCGAATGGAGACTTGGGCGATGCGTCTTTCGGTGCAGCGCCGCCTGGGTCTCCCCCTCGACGTGGCCTGCCAGGCCGCGGCGGCGGGCAAGAAGACTCGGAATGGGAAGACCCACGACGAGTATGGCGACGCTGCTGTCAACGTACCGCAGCAGGGCCACAACACCAGACACAAGTACACGCTTCGACGCCTCATCCTCGCCCTACGCGCCGCGTGGGGCACCGCTGTGCGAATGGAGCCGAAAGCCCACCTCGGTCAGAGTTACAACAAACAACCCGACGTGGACGCGGACAACATTGGCTCGCACGGCACGCACTATTGCGGAGACGTCAAGGTCGTCTGTTCCCTCAGCAGCAGCGGGGAGCACGGTCGGAAGGGCGCTTTTGTCGCTTTCGGCAACACTGAATCATTCTACCGGAACATGGTCATGGGGCATGGGCCCTACTGCGAGGAGGGAGAGGGAGGTGGGGGGCAGGGAGAGGGGGGGGGAGAGGAGGAGGGGGGGGGGGAGGGGGAGGGGTACGGGGGGGGCGGCATGGAGGGGGAGAGGAAGAGCAAGGGCGAGAGAGGGCAAGGGACTGGGCGCTGGCATACCAGGGGGGGCAGGGTGGTGGGCGGCGACCGCCGCATACCGTCCTACGGCGGGGACTATCGCTACGCCAGGGAAGACAAGGGCGTCGAAGTGCAGCTGCTGCTGTTCGAATCGTTCGGCGGGTTCGGAAAGGGGGTCCGTGAGATCCTCCGGAGAGCGGCGGACGTGCTACAGAACAAGCTGACGCGGGCCCAGTACCTCGATGAGGTGACTTGGACCACCAAGAGCTGGCTGGGGCTGCAGAAGCAGCGCATCTCAGTCGTTCTTCACACGGCCATCGCAGAGCAGGTCGTGAATGAGCTTGCCTGTGGCGGGGGTGGGCGGGTGCACGGAGCTAAGTGCCTCGCCACCCTCGCAGGAGTCGCTTAGGCGGCTCCCGTGGTGTACCTGTGTTAGTGCCAGTGCGAGCCAGTCCCGTGCCCAGTCCTGTGCCCAGTGTTGTGCGAGGGAGTTTTGTTGTAAAATTCTTGAGTGTGGTGGTGTACCTCAAGACTTCGCCGGCGGGCAGACCGGCTTCTGGACCAGTCACGACGCCGGGCAAGAAGGAGCACTGCCGATTCCTGCGTGACTGTGAGGCCAAGCCGCACGACCTGGTGGTGACGCCCGCGACGGGCATGGCCTGCTGCATGGACCAAAACTTGCTGCACGAGGGGCTGCCCGTGACGGCCGGCGTCAAGTACGTGCTGCGCACCGACTTTGTGCACGAGCGCGCGCTGCCGGCGCCCCACCCCAAGCTGGCGGGCCGGGGTGGTGGTGGAGGCAATGCCAGCCCGCCCCCTGACGGCGCGTCTGAGTGGGAACGGCTGTTTGAGACGAGCTGCAAGAATTACGCGGACTAACGCGGACTGATCATGGACCAACAAGTGCTTATTGCGCATGCGCGGCCGGGGCGGCCTAGCTTCCCGAGCCGCGTGCCTATCTAGCTCCTTGGCGCCGTCCTTCTCGGCCCGCCGGCCGGGCCGGCCGACCGACGGGCCGAGGCGACGTGGACGGGTCCATCTCCGTGTGGGGCGATCCTCGCTACGGCGGTTCTCGCTTCCACGCACCGGCAGGGTCCGGCTTCACCGCGATCTACTCAACTGGGTACGCCTTCGCCGCGCTCAAGGCGGACGGGTCCATCTCCGCGTGGGGCGATTCTCGCTACGGCGGAAGCGGAGGGAGCACCGGCAGGGTCCGGCTTCACCGCGATCTACTCAACTGGGTACGCCTTCGCCGCGCTCAAGGCGGACGGGTCCATCTCCGCGTGGGGCGATTCTCGCTACGGCGGAAGCGGAGCACCGGCAGGGTCCGGCTTCACCGCGATCTACTCGACTGAGCAAGCCTTCGCCGCGCTCAAGGAGGACGGGTCCATCTCAGCGTGGGGCGACTCTTCGCGCGGCGGCAGCGGAGCACCGACAGGGTCCGGCTTCACCGCGATCTACTCGACTAATACCGCCTTCGCCGCGCTCAAGGCGGACGGGTCCATCTCCGGGTGGGGCGATTCTAGCAGGCGGGAGAATTCTTTTTCTGAACGCTGAGCGCTATATCCCGCGGTTTTGCTTGCAACGAGCCACTGCCGCCATGACGACGCACCGGGCGCAGCTCCGCGCCGCGGTGCGCGACCTATCGGACCGCGGCCTCAAGTGCTCCGCCAAGTGGGCCGCGGAGCAGCTGGTCGGCCTCGCGGGCGGCCCTCTCGATGACGAGGCGGGCACGTCGGACGCGCCGATGTCGCCGGCGGAGGAGGTTGGATCGCGGGAGGAGGAGGACCAGCTGCTGCTCGCCAAGGCCTACTTCGACCTCAACGAGTTCAAGCGCGCCGCGCACGCACTCCGCGTGGCGCGCGGCGCCTCTGGCCGCTTCCTTCGCTGGTACAGCCTCTTCCTCGCAGGCCAGAAGCGGCAGGCGGAGGAGGAGGCGGAGGAGCGGTCGGGCGGTGCAGGCGCGCCGGGCTCGCTGCTCGGCAAGCCGCGCGCGAGCAACCAGCACCTCCCTCTCCTCAACGCGGAGCTGACTGCTGCGCGCGAGAGCGAAGGCCTCCCCGGAGGAAGAAGCGAAGGGAGGGCGGCGGTCGCTCAGACACGGGCGCGGCCTGTAGGCCTCGACGGCTTCGGGCACTACCTCCATGGCATCGTCCTCCGCGAGCTCGCCCAGCCCGCTCTCGCGCGCGAGGCCCTCCTCCGAGCCGTCTCGGTGCGACGGACCCTTCCCCACCCCGCACCACTCCCACCCCGCACCACTCCCACCCCGCACCGCTCCCACCCCGCACCACTCCCACCCCGCACCACTCCCACCCCGCACCGCTCCCACCCCGCACCGCTCCCACCCCGCACCGCTCCCACCCCGCACCACTCCCACCCCGCACCGCTCCCCATCCCCCGCACCCCCCCGGACGCGCCACCCCTGCCTCCAGGCCTACCCGTGCCTCTGGTCCGCGTGGACGGCGCTCTCCTCGCTGAGCGGCGCAGACGAGGCGACGCTACCACGGCACGGCCACGACACTGCCAGTCCATGACGCTCGCCCCGCCCCGCCGCCCGGCCAGGCGCCGCTCGAGCTCCCGGACACGTGGGTCGCCTCCTTCTTCCTCGCGCACCAGGTTATAATAATAATAATAATAATAATAATAATAATAATAATAATAATAACAACAACACGTGGGTCGCCTCCTCCTTCCTCGCGCACCAGGTTATAATAATAATAATAATAATAATAATAATAATAATAATAATAACACGTGGGTCGCCTCCTTCTTCCTCGCGCACCAGGTTATAATAATAATAATAATAATAATAATAATAATAATAATAATAATAACAATAACAATAACAATAACAACAACACGTGGGTCGCCTCCTTCTTCCTCCGCGCGCCCCGCCCCGCCCGCCCCGCACTCCGGCCACCCTTTCCCCTCCACACACCTCCGCCGCCCCACGCCTCCGCCCCACGCCCCCGCCCGCCCCACGCGCCCGCCCGCGCCCCTCCCGCCCCCCCACACCTCCGCCGCACGCGCCAGGCGACGGAGGCGCACGACAGCGCGCGCGCGGTGTCGCTCTACGAGTCGCTCCTTGTGCAGTGGCCTCGCTCGCTGCATGTGCAGAGCCAGCTCGCCCTCGCGCGGCACGCGGCGCTCAGCCGCGCGGGGGGGGGAGAGGCGCGGCTGCCGCACGCGCGACGCGCTCGCGGAGTAGGTACAACTTGCGCGACTTTGAGGAGGCGCAGCAGCGCTTCGAGGCGCCAGCTGCGGCGGGAGGGGGCGTGCGCCCCGGGAGACGCGCCCATGACGCGTCCCGGACACGTCGCGCAGGAGCTGCTGGCCGAGGACCCGTACCGGCTGGACGGGGTCGACACGTACTCGAACATCCTGTACGTGCGCGAGGAGAAGCGGAAGCTGTCCGCCCTCGCTCACTCGTGCGTCTCGACCGACAAGTACCGCCCCGAGGCGTGCTGCGTGGTCGGAAACTACTACTCGCTCAAGGGTGCGCACGAGAAGGCGGTCCTGTACTTCCGCCGCGCCCTCAAGCTCGACGCGAACTTCCTCTCCGCCTGGACGCTGATGGGGCACGAGTATGTCGAGCTCAAGAACACCGCCGCCGCCGTCGACGCCTACCGGCGTGCGGTCGAGATCGACGCCAAGGACTACCGCGCGTGGTACGGGCTCGGGCAGACGTACGAGATCCTCGCGATGCCCTTCTACGCCCTCTTCTACTACCGCAAGGCGACGGCGCTGCGCCCGTACGACTCGCGCATGTGGTGCGCCATGGCGGGCTGCTACAAGCAGCTGCACCGCAGGGGCGAGGCGATCCAGTGCTACCACCGCGCCGAGAAGAATGACGACCGGGAGGGCATCGCCTTCACCGAGCTCGCGAGGCTGTACCGCGAGAATGGCGAGGACGCGCAGGCGGCGGGCTACGGCTCAGCCGACTGCCGGGACATGTCCATGCACATGTCCATGACGCGTCCGGGACATGTGCCGCAGGCGGCGGGCTACTACGAGCGGATGGTTGCGCAGCGCGAGGCGCACGGCGAGGCTGTGGGCAAGGAGCTGAGCGAGGCGCGCGTGCCCCGCCCACAGCCAGCCACGCGAAGGCGGAAACGGGCCCGACGGCGCGTCCAGCGCTCCCGTGACCCCAGGCGCTCTTCTTCCTCTGCACCCACAAGAAGAGCACGGGCGACCTCGACGCCGCGCAGACCATCGGCCAGCGCCTGCTCGACCTCGGCCTCCCCGAAAGGGACGAAAACCGCGCGCGCGCGCGACACGCCTCCGACGCGGCCGCCTCGTTGTGAGTAGGTGGCCCCGAGAAGGACCAGGTCAAGGCGTTGCTGCGCGACATCCAGAGCCAAAGAAAGGCGGGCAGCGGCGGCGGGCCGCCGGTATGAGGGGAGGCGTAGCGCCGGCGAGCGAAGGGAAGAGGCGGAGGAAGGCGGGAGGCGGACCTTGCGTTCAGCTCTCACGTGTCGAGCGCGTATGCTCTATCCCGCAGTTCCCGCACCCCTGGCCTTGTTCGCCGCTTGGTCTCCTCTAGTGCCGGTCCCGGTTACAGGTACACGTCTCTTTCTCGAGCTTCGTTCGAGCTCTGTTTCAGTATGTTACAGGTTACAGCCGGTCCCAGGTTGAATGTGTGTTCGCTCACGCTGTAACCTGTATCGGTACTCTGGTCTCTGCCCGATTTTCGCCGGACGCCGCGGATTGGCGATTTGCGAACAGCAGAAAATTCGTGACTAGGGGTAGACAGTGCCCGTCTACATTCGATCGAATTCCACGTGGCCGGGGACCATGATGAAATTCTATCGCCGACGTCTCCCAGTGCTGAGATGATCGCGAGAAGAGTTGAGAGGGGACGACACCGCTCGATCTGCCCTCCGGGGTCCCTCGGCGGCGGGCACACCTCGTCCTGTACTGTGTTTGTGATGACCTCCCCAAATGAACACACACCAGTGAGGGAGGGCGAGACGATCGAGGGGTCCCGTACCATGCGGAATCGACCCCTATCCCAGAGGGCTTCCTCCCAGCAGTGCAACAGTGCAACCAGAGGGGAAACCCCGCGAGGGGAGAGGGAACCCAGGAAACTCCCTCGCACGACACTGGGCACGGGACAATACATTGTTCATCGAAACGTCAGGCAAAGCTCATGGCCCGAGAGAGAAAGACCGCCCAGTTTAACTCATCACAGGCGGCCGCTTCTGCGGTGGTGGGGCTCAGCGACTCCCACAGGACTCCCATACACACTACAGAGCTACATGCGACCGCCTGACGCAAACCTGCCGCCATCAGGCAGGCAGTTCACTCTGAGCACATCCGGACGACCTCCCTCGGCCCTGCAGCTGCACGAGTCGGGGCTGCCTGCTCGGGTTCCTGCGTTGCAGACGCCGTAGCATTCATGATGGATCGTCCGAGGCGATCATCCCTGAGAGGGAGTCGAGGCGGCGTTTGGTTGTGTGACACGTCCCGTGGGATCGTTGCCCCCCCCCCCCCCTGCTGACGTTTGGTGTCTCTCACGTTTCAGAATTGCACGGACCTCTCGCGTTCGGCTCAGGCACTCCCCAAACAACATGGACACCACATACGGGGGGCGGCCGCAGCCGAGGCCGAATCCCACAGCCCAGGGGCCCTGTTCACGCGCGCGCAAGACGTGCAGCAATAAAACAACAACATTTACTCGTCCAAGTACTAGATTTGTTTCACAAATGCGGCGCGGAACTCAGCCAAACCAGCCGACTGACTAGCCGAACCAGCTGAAGCAGCTGAACCAGCCGACGACCAGCCGAACCAGCCTAACCAGCCGAAGCAGCACAACCGAACCAGCCGCACGCCGAAGGCGGACCAGCACCAGCCGCACGCCGAAGGCGACGCGGAAGGTGACGCAGGGGTCGCGCGCCAGAGGCATCGCAGTGGTAGGCGGCGCGAGGGTCGCGCGCCGAAGGCGGTCGCGCGCCGAAGGCGCGCCGCACGCCGAGAGCAGGGGTCGTGCGTTAAAGGCCTCGACGCGGGGGTTGCGAATTTCCAGGCGCGGGGGTTGCTCGCCTTGAAGGCGGCGCGGGGGTCGCGCACCCCTGCCGTTTTCACACCTCAGGGTTACCCCACCGCGAAGTGGCGGTGGACATGCTCCCACGTTGCCGACGCGGCGGGGCGCCGGAGTGGCCGCTGGCCGGCGCGTGCTCGCCCTTTTGCCCTGTCATCATCCGATCTCCTCTTTTACATACATAAATCATCGAAAACCATAACCCAACATGTCTCTGTTTAGCCACTCATCAGTTCACGCCGCCCGATCAAGAGACTCAAGAGCCCCTCGCCGGCACGCGCAGCCTCGGCGGATCGACAGGATACAGCCGCCCCACGTTTGCCTCGCGGCTCGAGCAGCACCAGTCGCCTCCGAGCAGGAAGAAGGACTCGAGGTTGGCGAAGCCGGCCGCCTGCTCAAAGTCGCTCTCCCAGCCGCCAAACGCGCCCTCCGCGTCATCGAGCGTCACGAGCCGCGCCGACCGCACCGCCGGCGCGTCGAGCAGCCGCAGCACCTCGCGGTTGGTCGCGCCTCGTCGGAGCGAGAGCGCGCCGGGGGCGGCCGGCTCGCCGTCGCCCGCGCCCAGCGCCGCCGTCGCGGGGTCGAAGGCCGCGTCGCCCGCGCCGAGCACGCTGGAGCAGGTGCGGTCGTGCGGCGCGGAGCAGCGCGAGACGGGCCAGTGCGCCTCGTCGACGGGCGGCGGGCGGCCGAGGACGCGGACGCGCTGCGGCGCGTCGGTGATGGCGCTCGCGGTGCGCGGGTCAGCGAGGAAGGAGTGGGCGCGGAGGGAGAGCGGCGGCGCGGGCTTGCGGGTCGTCCACGGCGCTGAGGCGGCGTAGCGCGCCGGCTCGAGGAAGTACTGCAGCTTGTGGATGTTGAGCACAAAGTGGGTCGAGCACTTCCTCGGGAAGGTTAGGCCGGGCGGCGCGCCCGGGTAGACGCACGAGGGGACGTAGTCGACGAGCTCGCTCCGGTCGCAGAGGCAATCAAAGTGCGGCAGCACGAGCGTGCGGTTGAGCACGTACGCGAGGGCGAGCGCGTCGCGAAGCGCGTGCAGCTGGCGACGCATGAGCTCGAGGTTCGCCCGCAGCCGCACCGAGCGCCGCCGCGCCTCCTCGGCGGGCACTCCGCCCGGCCGCTTGCCGCCCAGCCCGTGCGACGCGTCCTCGCCGCCGCACGGGCGCGGCACCGGCCCGCCCGGCCGCCACAGCCCCTCGCCGTCTCGGCAGGGCCGCGGGTCGGGCGGCGGCTTGGGAGGCGCAAAGGAGAGGAAGCGGCCCTCGGTGAAGTACCTCGCGGGGAGGGCGCCCCACAGGCCAGCCTCGAGGAACCTCCAACGCTTGCCCGCGTCGCCAAACTCGGTGAAGGTGGCGTGGACCGACGCGCACTCGCCCGCCGCGCCCGCCTGCTGCATCCAGACCATGTGGCCCGAGCAGAAGCGGCGCGCGGGCAGCGGGCCGAGCACGAGGCCGTCGGGCCCGTGCACTAGCCTGCCGTCGCTGCTGGCGGCGCGGACGGGGTAGAAGCCGCGCGCGGTCAGCAGCCGGTTGAAGACGCCCTGGTCGTCCGACCACCACGTCTCGAGCTTGAGCGTCCACCGCGCCCACCGCTCGCAGAAGGCGACGGTGGAGTTGCTCGCCGCCAGGAAGATGACGCCGGTGTTGAATACGGCGCCGGCGGTGTTGCCCGGGCTGTGGCCGCACATGAAGGGCGACGCGCCTCGCGGCGTCTTGTCGGCGTCCGCTGCGGCGTCGAGGCAGTCGGTCGAGGGCGCGATCGAGGCGCCCGCCGCCGCGAGCGCCGCCAGCTCCGCCGTCGGGTCCTTCGCCCAGGCGACGTCCGAGTCCGAGACGAGGACGTGCCGACCTACGCCCGTGTTGCATGACCTGGACTGTGTCGATCTATGCGCCTGCCCATCTGTGTTTGTCTGCGCTCGACACCGGAGAGCAGGACCTCCTTGATCGTCATCGCCTTGAGGAAGCCCATCCGGTGGAAGAGGAAGGGGGTGCCGCGGAAGTGGACCGGAGGCAGGGCGCCCGAGTACTTGTACGCCGGCACGCGCAGCCTCCGCAGGTGGACGAAGAGCCCGTCGTCGTAGCAGGCGACGACCATCGCTGCCCCTTGCGCAGCGCGATCACGTGGTGCACCCAGTTGAGCAGCATCTCGGTCGCGCCAGAGTTGCCAAACGCGAGCCACGCGATGCCGCTGGCGCGCGGGACCGCGCTGAGCAGCTCGTCCATCGACGCGCCGGCGGGCGCTTGCGGCGGGAGCAGGCTCGGGTCAGGCGACCACTGCTCGAACCCGTCCTGCGCCAGCATGTGCCTCACCGTGTCCGACTCCTTTTGCACGTTGGCCTGGTGGTCGTAGCCGCCCCGCCGCCCGTCGCCCGTCGGCGGAATAGGCTCCGCGAGCGCCATCGCGATGGCGCGGCGAGCCTCGGCGGACTGGTGTGACTCGAGTGGCGGTTGTGTCGCTGCCGGGTCGAAAGGCGCTGCTGTGTTCGCTGCCGGTCGGATGGGGGAGTGCGAACTTGCCACCGCCGGTGCCCATCGAGACTGCCAGGCTCGTTGCGTAAGTTGAGGCCGCCGCACCACCGGCGGCGCAATCACTGGACTGGGCTGCCACGATTGGTACAGCAGGAGGAGGAGAGCTGGCAGCGAGGCGATAGCGTACGAGCAACGCATTCGCGTGCTCTGAGCTCCCCGCCTCTTCGTTTGGCGATATTTACGGGACAAGCAAGCTGCTTGTCAAGCGACTCGCAAAGCTGGCAAGGGGTCGGAAGATAGGTAGCGATGCTGGAGCGTTCGCTGCCCGGGGGCGCAGCCGCAGCGGTATAAGCGGAGTTCGCGCAGCGTGTGTGGCGCCGGCGAGTTTCTTTTTCAAAAGGGAGAGTCGTGAGCGAATTGATGGTAGACCTTCGGGCAGACAGACCCACACACGGTGTGCCGACACAAGTTGGAGGCGAACGCGCTCTCGTTAATAGGCACCTCGGATGTCACCGCACGAGCCTCTGTTGCAATGACGCCTTGCGTGGCAAGCGGTGTAAAGTATTGCTGGTGCCAAACGGTGGCCTGGTCATGTGTGTCACAGGCGGCGAACATGCCGACCCGCCAGCGCGCGGAGAGGAGCGGCGATAGCAAATGCACCCTGATCTGGTGTGCAAAGTAGCTGTGCGGCAGGTTGCCCTTGTGCCATGCTGGATCGCCGCCAACCGCAAGCTGCTACGGCGAGGAAATCGCGCACGCGTCCAGCTTCGCATACGAGGGCGACTGCGCGGACTGCCCCACCTGCGACTTGTGGCTGCAGTGGCAGCAGCCGTGCTCTACCCTGAGTGCGGAAAACGCGGCAATCCAGGAGGGGAAGGACATGTGCGGCCACGAGGCCTCGCCGCCGATGCCCTTCGAGTTCCGCGCGGGAGTCATGTAAGCTGCGCCCCCTCCCCCACCCCCTCGCCCGATCCCTAATGCGGCGACACCTCCTTGTCCCTTCCACCTTCAGGGCCCTCTGCTACCTCAACTGCTTCCTAATTATTGTGTGGGAGAGGATCCTCGTCCGCGGTCCGATTGGCAAGTGCCTCGACAGCGGCGACAGCGAAGAGAAGCTCACGTTCCGGCTTTGAGCGGGCGCATGCGGGACAGCCTTCCGGCGGCGAGTTTTGGCGCCCAAATGGCGCAGGCCCGGGAAGAGAGAGGGTCGCGCACTGGAGAGGAGCACGCCCTTGACGTCTCACGCTTTGCACAGAATGATTGCGCTCGCGCCATTATACTCCGTTGCATTTTCGCCACAACATGCTGTGCTGGGAGATATTGTGATGTGCGTGACTCACACAAAGAGTCTTCTCCTATCTTGCAGGTAGCGAGGTATGTAAGGTGCTTAGTTAGTGGTGAGGCGGAGCGGAAGCGGAAGAGCCTTGCACGTCTTGTGCACAGCGCTCTTGTGTGCACCCCGCGACACACTCGCGAGAGCCGAGAGCCGTCTCAGAGTCTCCCTCGCAGACCTGCAACCCCTCTTTTTGACATCTCTTAAATGACCTACTGGAGACTCGCTCTCTACAAAATGCGAGTGCGGTCTCTGCCCCCACAGATTTCAGGAGCACTTGTCACCGCGACACAGCAACATCGATTCGTCCTCTCTCGACTCTGCAGCTGGCAGCTCGGAGCTCTGGGAGCGGGCACACTCTCTCCGCAGCGGCAGCGCTGGCGCACCGCCACTCTGACCCACCCACGAACGTTGAAGGAGAGCGCACAGAGGCGGACGAGAGATGCCGAGCGAGGACTGGGAGAGGAGACCATGTACGCCGTTGCGTGTGCAACACATGCGACCCCGTTGCCAGCTCCGCTCTCTACCAGGGCATCCCAAGCCCCTCTCGCCCAGCCTCCCGCCCGACAACCCCGTTGGCCCCACCTTAGGCGAGCTTGTTCTGGATCTGGCGGTGGACGTGGCAGAGGAACTCGACGTAAGTCATGGATGCCTAAAGCAGCAACGGGCGCACGCCTGCTCGGACGCGCCTCGATGGCTATCTAGTGGAGCGCTGCGAGGCCGCGCCTGCGCGCGGTCCTCCGTCAAGTTCGCCAAGAACCGAGGCTCGGCCGCGTCCTACCCACCAGACGGAGTCGCTGTGAAGAGTCCCCGTCCCTGCGGCGGGCTGCGTGGCTCCTCCGCCCGCGCCTTGTGGGCCACGCAACGCAAAGTCTGCACCAAGTGCGGCCGCTGGGCGCGGATCACGCTGAGCAAGCCGTGCAGCGCGGCGCTCGGCGCCGTCTCGAGCTTGGCCACGCGGAGGCGCGACGCGTCGACGCCCGCGGCCGACGCGATCCCGAGCAGCGGCTGCAGCAGCTCGGCGGGCGCGCGCGCGCCGATCCAGAGCGTGAGCGAGAGGGAGTCGTCGAGGAGGTAGCAGTCCGCGCTGTCCAGCTTCTCGAACGAGAGCGCCGTCGTGTCGCCCAGCCGCCCGCCGCCCGCGGCAGCGGCGAGGGCGAGCGGCGACGTGTCTGCGGCGGGGTCGGCGTCGGGCGGCGGCGGCGCGGCGGCGGCGGCGGCGCCCGCCTCCGAGATGGAGCGGAGGGAGTAGAGGCGCGGGTAGATGAAACCGCCGCTCGAGGTGCAGCCCATGCGGCAAGCGGCGGCGAGGTGGGCGGCGCGCTCGTCGGCTCGCACCTGTCCGCACGCCGCTAGCCATCAAGGGGCGGGGGCGGGTGTGGGCGGCGGGAGGGGCGAGCTGGTGGCGCACGTCGGTCCCCGCCCGCAGCAGCCCCACCTTGGTGAGGGAGAGGGCGTAGAGGGGTAGCAGCTTGAGCGCCTCCGGGAGGATGAGCTGGCCAGCGGAGGTTGAGGCGGCGCACGTCTTGCGGCGGCGGGAGAGGTGCGGGGTGAGGTGCGGGGTGAGGACAAGTGAGGGTCGGGCGGGTGGGGAGAGGGGGTGAGGCGAGGAGAGGTGGTTGTTGGGGCGGGGCGAGGGGGCGAGAGATACGGGGCACGGGTCGGGGAGCCGCGGGACCTTGCGGTAGTTTGCGAGGATGGTGACGCAGCGCGCCACCACCGCCTCGCGCAGCTTTTGCATCGTCGACCGGCTGGTAGCGAGGGCGGCCTGCCGCATCATGATGTTGAGCAGCGCGTCGAGGTCGGCGTGGCGGTAGAGCGACGGCATCGAAGACGTCGCGATCAGCGCCGAGGTGAGCACCCGAATCCGCCTGCTCGCACCCGGCACAGGCGGTCGAGCGGAGCGGGAGGAGGCGCCGGCGGGGCGGGGGGGCGGGGGGGGCCGGGGGGGCGGGGGGGCGGGGGGCGGGGGGCGAGGGGGGCCGGGGGGGCGGGGTGGGGGGGGCTGCCTCTCCCCGAAGGCGGTCGTGTAGAGCAGCGCGCACTGGACGCACGGGTTCGAGCCGTCGATGATCTTGTCGTCGTGCAGGAAGGTGACCCCGATGGCACCGTCGGCGTCGATTCCGGGCACGTCGACGTCTCGGTCGCCCGGCAGCGACGAGCCCCACAAGTAGTGGTCCACGCGCAAGCCGCGCGAGGTCCGCACGCGCATCACACCCTCGTACCCAAAGGGACGAGTCAGGCAGCGCCAAATCTCGGCCTGCACACGGCCGCCGCCCCGTCAGCGGACGCCGGGCTCAAGGCACGGACGCGACAAGCGGCTCGCCTGCAGCTTCGGGCCCCACACGTCGCGCGACTCGGGCGCCGCGTTCGCGTAGTGGTAGAGCTGGCCGCCCGTCAGCCGGCTGAGAGGCGCCGTCGACGACATGTCGACGAAGTTGCTCGTCGTGAAGTGGAAGGTCGAGACGCTCGCGTGCACCTCGAGGCGGGAGCGGGCGCAAGCCAGTGCGCAAAACCGTGCGCGCGAGGGTGCGTAAGGGGGTGCGCCGAGGCTGCGAAGGGGCGAGAGGGAGGCACCGCTGCCAGCGCAGCGGCCAGCGCAGTCCAGCCGCTGTCCGCCGGCTGCAGCAGCGCCTGCTCCTTCTCGGTGCCGTAGGTGCGCACGTCGTCCCGGTGAACCAGCTTGAGAGGGCCGACCGACGGCAGCGTGTGGCTGAAGACGAGCACGCGCCCGCCCGTCGGCGCGAGGAGCAGCCGCGCCGCCTCCATCGCCGCGCCAAAGGCAGCGTCGGGTCGGCGCGAGGAGGCGAAGAGGGTGGTGCGAACCGCCTGGGCGGCGCAGGGCAGGTGCGTGGGAGGAGCGGCTGGGGAGGGGAGGCTGCAGGGCGCCTCTGCACACCTCGAAGACGCCGAGCAGCGCGTCGCGCGCCTCGGAGAGCGGCAGCAGCAGCGCCTAGACTCGGCGCACGAGGAGGATTGCGCGAGAGCTCCTCTTGACGGCCCGGAGAGCGGCAGCGGGCGGCGCCTCGGCGGGGAGAGGGAGGCCGATCTCGGCCAAGTCCGCTACCACGTACTGAGTCAGCCGGCTGCCGCCCGCCGCCGCGCCGTGCCCGTTGCCGCCGCCGCCGCCGCCGGGCGCGTAGAAGTGGAGCGCGTCGGCGAAGGTGACGAAGCCGACGCGGGTGTGAGGCGGGAGGGAGGGGAGGACGGCGGAGAGGGCGGTGAGCACCGTGTCGACGACGGTCGCGGCGGCGGCCGGCTGCGTCACCTCGAGGAGGAGGAGGAGCGGCGGAGGGAGCGGCGGGCGGGCCTGGTACTCTGGCGGCGCGACGAACTCGACGGCGCCGCAGGAGAGCTCGGGCCTACGGGGGGAGGGCGCGCGGCCTGAGCAGGCGCCCGCCGCGCCTCTCCCCGCGCCAGAGGGGAGGCGCGCGCCGTTCGGCGAGGTCGCGCCGGAAGCCGGACTGGTCGAGGTCGACGATCTCGGAGGGCGGGAGCGGCGTGACGGCACCGCACAAGTTGCAGGAGAAGGAGCGGCCGCGGTCGACGAAGGCGAAGAACGGGTTGGCGTACGCGCGGCACCGGCCGCACCTGCCGCAAAGGGTAGGGGGCAGGGGTGAGAGAGGGGGAGAGGGGGGGCGTGACCGCTCTGCGCCCCGCGTCTCGCCAGCCGCGTCTCGGCCGCATCCGGCATATCGGGCTGCGTCTCGGCTGCATCTCGGCTAGCATCTCGGCACCGAAGCGGCCCGTCAGGCCCGGGGTGGACGAGCGGCACGGGCGCCTCGCCCGGCGCAGGCTCGGCGAGCGGCTGGATGACGCACGCCGTCGGGACACCGCACGCGACCGCCGCGTCCTCGAGCGTGGCGACCTGCAGCAGGAGCAGCCGCGGGTGAGGAGGGGCGCGGGGGAGGAGGCCGATGCCACTCCCCCCCTGCAAGCCTTGCCTGCACGTCCCTCCCCCCGCCCCCCCTGCAGCCTTTTCCCCCGGAAGCCTTTTCCTTGGAAACCCCCCCCCCCCCCCCCCGCCCCAGCAGCCCCTCCCCCCCCTCAGCAGCCCTCCCCCCCCCAGCAGCCCCTCCCCGCCCCAGCAGCCCTCCCCGCCCCAGCAGCCCTCCCCGCGCGCCTGGTTCAGCGTGTGCCGCAGCAGGCGAGGCGGGCAGTTGCCGTCGTCGATGGCGACGTAGGCGGAGGCGGCGGGCGGGGGCAGGGTTCCCATGCCCGCCCGCGTGAGGAACGACTCCGGCGCAGCCCCCGCCGGCGTCGGCCTCGGGATCTGGGACGGGTCGATCCGGTTGCTGCCTCCGCCTCCGTTGGCAGTCCTCGTGCTGGGCCGCTCCCCACCCGGCTGCTGGGCGGGAGGAGGAGGAGGCGCGCCGCCCACGCCGCCGCCCGGCGCGGCCTTCTCCCCGCCGAGCTCGCCGGCGGCGTACATGCGCCTCGCCGGCGCAGCGCGAGGCCTCTCGCCGCCCAGCCCCGCCCCGCCCACCGCCAAGCCGGCCAGCGGCACGGTCGGCGGGGCGGCTGCAGCTCCGGGCGGCGGCGGCGCGCCCCGAGGCGGGGGAGGACCTGGCGGGAGGGGAGGGGGCGGGGTGTCGGGGCGCAGGGGGCTGGCGAGCGGGGCTGGGCAGCGGGGCTGGGCAGCGGGGCTGGGCAGCGGGGCTGGGCAGCGGGGACCTGGAGGAGGCGGGCCCGGAGGAGGGCCGCCGCGCGGGTGGCTGCCCGGAGAAGGCTGTCGCGGAGGGCCGGGCGGAGGAGGGCGCTGGCCGGGAGGAGTGGCTCCGAAGCGGGGCGGAGGCGCCCGCGGAGCAGGCACGCCCGGCCCCGCTGCGCCGCCGGGAGGAGGAGGGCCTCCGCCCGGCGGCAAGCCGGCGTGAGGCGGAGGAGGCCGCATGCCGGGCTGCGGCGGAGGGCCGCCACGCATCGGCACGCCCGGCGGAGGCGGCCGCGGCGCTCCAGGCGGCACGCCGTTGCCGTGGTGCGGCGGCGGAGGCCGCTGCCCCGGAGGAGTGCCAGCGAAACGCGGCGGCGCAGGTCGCTGGCCAGGCGGCGGCGGCCGCTGGCCGGGCGGAGGAGGCCGCTGCCCCGGCGGCGTGCCAGCGAGCCGCGGTGGCGGGCCGCCGGGACGTGGCGGGCCCGGCCGCGTCGGACCGGGCGACGGGCCTCCAGGTGCTGGCGGCAGCATGCGAGGCGCTCTGGCTCCTGCACCAGGCGCTGGCATCCGAGGCGCTCCAGGCGCTGGCATCCGAGGCATTCCGGGCCGCGGCGGTGCGCCGCCAGGCGTGCCGAACCCGGGCCGCGGCGGGCCGGGCCGCGGAGGGAGTCGAGGCTGCATGTGTTCGCAGCGGTGTGGAGGCGGCGCCGGTCTGTACTGTGAGGTGGAAGCCGAAGAAAAAAGAAAAAGATTTACAAGACCGCATGGTCGCTGCGAGAATTCGGTGGGCGAAGAGGCAGACACGGATGGGTGGGCGATGGCTAGCACCACGCTCCTCTCCTTCATGCTTAAACTTGGGGGAGAGAGAGTTTTGGGACGGAACCCTTACGCAAAAGCACAAAAGCTGCGCGACTTGCACTCTTTCGTGCCACTCGCTCGCCGGTGCGCGGGGCATGGCCTCCCGCGCGGCTCGCGCTCACTCGGCCTGCCTCCGCCTCACGGCTGGCTGAGCACGCCATGGGTCCGCCTGGTGCGGCGCTGCTCGCTCGCTGCGCTGCACAAAGCTGCGAGAAGCAGGGTGGCCTCCTGAGCTTGAGCATGGCGCAGCGCGAGCACCAAGTCGCGCTCCGGATCGGCGACCGCGCGCGCCTCGCACTGGCCGACGCGAATCTTGCTCTTCGCCGCGTCGCGGCTGTCGTAGGCGCGCGTGCTCCACCTGGCCGTGTGGATCGCCTCGACCAACACGGGCACCGCCTCCTGTGAGAGGAGCGCCTGCAGGTGCTCGCGCAAGACTGACACGCCGATGAGCGCCGGCGACGCGGCGGTTAGGCCAATCCAGCCGGCGTGCGAGGCCAGCGCGCCCGGCATCGGGTCGATGCGTATCAAGAACCAAAGATGCGGTCCGAAGGCAGACCGCCGGTTGTACACCATCGCGCACTCGCTGTCCCGGATGGCCACCGAAATTCCGGTGTCGCAGCATTGCCAGAGGCGAGGGTAGGCATTCTCCACGATGGTGGAGATGTTGACCCGATCGTGCCACCCACTGTGGCCCGACCCTCGAGTTTGTCCTCTGGCGCCACTTGCAGCCGTAGCCACCGTAGGCGATTGAACATTTGTATAGCGCGCTCAGCGCTGCATTTGGACGTGTCGGCTAGGGGAGGGGAGCGCCCCCCCCGTCCATTGTCGTATTCGTACTCGTAGCCCCACCCCGTCCGGTGGGGGGGAGGGTGGCAGTCACCGAGCCGACAGCAGTGCCCGGCCGCCCCCTCCCCACAGGCATGTCAACGTAAGCAGCAGCGACGATCCAGCACCAGTACTATGTTATCGTCACCAGTAGCACCCCCAGCATGTCTTGAGCATCATTACCATTATCATCTTGGAGCACTTGGAGTGCAGTTATCAGCCAGAAGATGAATGTAGTTGATGGATCGGGCTATCGTCCGTGCCTCCCCTCTTTACGTCAGAGTGGGACCTACGCCGCGCCGGGCAAGGGGCGCGCCCGGTCCTCGACGGAGCCGCGCGCCCCAAGCGACCCAGGCGGCGAGTAGTCGTCGTTAGCGGGGGCGGTGGCGGAGCCGGAGGCGACGGAGAGGGAGGTGGCGAGGGAGAGGGCGGCGGAGAGGGAGGCGGCGGGGGGGAGGGCGGTGGAGAGGGTGGTGGCGGAGGGAGTGGCAGCGTAGCGGAGGGCGGTGGAGGGGGGGGCGGCAGAGAGGAGGGGGGCGGGGCGGGGGGCGGCGGAGGCGGGGGCAGCGGGGAGGGGGGCGGCGGAAAGGAGGGCGGCGGGGAGGGGGGCTGCGGAGGGGAAGGCGGCGGCGCGGGGGGCGGCGGAGGGGAGGGCTGCCGAGAGGGGGGCGGCGGGTATCGGGGCAGCGGGGAGGGGGGCGGCGGGAAGGGGGGCGGCGGCGAGGGAGGCGGCGGGGGGGAAGGCGGTGGCGCGGGGGCCGGCGGAGGGGCTGGCGGCAGAGCGGGAGGGGCTGGCGGAGGGACGGGGGGAAGGGCGGGGGGCGGCGGAGATGGAGGCGACGGAGAGGGGACGGCGGGGGCGGCTTGTAACTAGCCCCGTTACCATGCATCGTAGTTTTGCTGTGTAGTTTAAGAAGGAGCAGGTATTTTTTGGTGCAAGCAGGTTTTTAACTACTAAAAGTGGAGGCAGGCTGCTTCCACTTTTTAGTAGTTAAAGCCTGCTTCCACGTTAGTTAAAAACCGCAACCCAGTCCTCTGTAGTCATAGCCGTAGGAACTTATGAAGGCCGGGCTCAAACTTATACGGACTCGTGCTGATCGTAGTTTTGCTGTAGAGAAAAACTCAGCATGGTGCGGCCTTCGGGCACGGTGCTGACCTACCTCCCCGAGCCGCCTGGCTGGCGAGCCCATCCGCCCGGGCGACTCCCCGCGGACCCGCCCGACCCCTGCTGGTCCCTCGATCCCGCGCCGCCGGCGGAGGGCTCGCGGCCCCTCGCGATCGTGGAGGTTGTCGACTACGACCTCTCTGCGCTCGGCACTTCGCGCATAGTTAAGCTCGACCCGGTCGGCGTGCTCGCCGAGCGGCTGGGCGACGTGGCAGTGCAGTGCGTGCGGCGCGCGCTGCGCGACTCCTGGACCTACCCCACCCTCGCCACGGCGGGCGACGCGCTTCTCAACGCAATCTTTGGCGAGCGCGGCCCGAGCGGCTGGCTGTTTGAGGTGGTTGTGTCGCCTCACGTGTACGCCTCGCGCACGCTGTGGAATACGCAGCTTCTCGGCCGGAGGAAGCAGCTCAAGACGTACCGCGGCCGGGACTTTGAGCTCGACACCTCGCCCGACCTCGCCTGCTGCAACATGGACGTGCTGCACCCCGTCTCGCGCCCGCCGTCCGACGCCCGCAGGCACTGGACGTTGCGGATCTGCCAGATCACGCCCCTCGTCCGGCGGGGACTGAGCGACCGGGAAGCCGAGGCCGCGCTGCAGCAGCTGCTCGACAAGGCCCGCCGCCGCCCCAAACCCCACCCCCGCCTCTCTCCGGATGCCGAGCATGATGTGCCGCCCGCTCAGGAGGTCCCTCGCAAGTCCGGGGCCGTCGCAAAGGGGCGGGGTCGCGGCGAAAGGACGGCGTCGCCGCCCGAGAGGCTCAGCGGCGATACTCGGCCCAAGCCCGCCAAACCACGCCAGAAGCTGTCTAGCAAGGCCAAGCTGCAGATTGGCCACGTTGTGTTTCTGCACCCGGACCGGCTGCCCCTGGGTGCGAGCCCGCACCAGCCACACCTCATCCTGGCCGAGGCATGGCCCATCCGGGGGGAGCGCGGCGGCAGCACACGACGCCACTTCCGCCTCCAGCCCCAGCCGTCGGGCGAGCCCTTCCTCCTCGAGGAGCGGACGGTGACCGCGCTGCACAACGGCTTCCGCGGCGCGTGGCTGGCGATGGAGGCGGTGGGGGACGCGGCGCAGCGGGAGACCCTGCTCCGCGCCCTCGCGTGGTACTGCGAAGAGTACGCACGGCCGCCCTTGGCCTGCATCCGCCTGCTGCTCCACTCTGGCACGGTCAGCAGGGAGCAGGCGCTCGAGCTCGCGGCCGAGATGCGGGCGCTGACGGGCGGGGGAGGCGAGGCCTACGCGAGCGACGGAGAGGAGCCGGCAGGCGCGCGCCCGTCTCCCCGCCGCGGGTGCGAGGAGGCGCCTCGCCCCTGCTGACGACCGCGCCTCCCCCCCCTACAGGAGCCGCGGCCGCGCCGCCTCCGGCACGCAACACGCTCGGGATGGTACCCTTTGCGGCGGGCGATGTGGTGTGCCTGCGCTCGGAGCCGGCGCCGCGGGCCATGCTCGTCCTCGGCCACACCGCGGGAGGCGGCGATCCGGGCAGGTTGCGGCTCAAGGCGCTGCCTACCGCCTCGGGGGGGTCGTCTAGCGCCGGCTCGTTGCCTCGCCTCCCCGAGCCGGAGGAGCTGACGGCGGACGAGGCTGCGCCCGTCGAGGCCGTGGTGCCGTTTGCGCAGCTGCTCGGCATGGAGTGGAGCCGACCACGGGCGGTGCCGGGCGACGACGGAGGGGAGGGGGGGGGCGCGCCTCCCGGCCCGGGGGGTGTGGGGCGGCGAAACCGCGTCGCCGGTATGCGGGAGGCCAAGGCCGC